ATGAAAGTGAAACTGACTGAGGAATCCACAAAATAATCAACCAGAATAAACAAATAAAGTAAATCAGAGAGTTGTTAGTGATACAGGCAAAGGACTTTGTTTCTTACACCATATGATTCAATTGACAGGGTCTCCTTCTCTGTGCCATCAGTGAAGTCAGCCAAAGGTAATGCTGCTTCAGACCCTGGAATCAGGTCATCAGTGAAGTGGGGGTGCATATCCCTTCAGTGCTACTTTACTATGAGATCCTGCCATTGTCCTGACTTAAAGGGGATTTCAGATTTTAACAAGAAAAGCTGATTACAGATGATGAGGGCTGGCAGAGCAGCCTTGTTCCTGATAGCTCTCTTCTGCTACTTCAGCTCAGTTACTGCTATTGCTAAACTTCCCTGGGGAATTGATCTCAGTAACTGGACACAAGCCTGGTAACTGTCTGTAAGTTTTGTTGATCCTTCAGCTCCCTAATAATAAACACACATTCCAATGGCCATGCTTTATGCCCTTTTTTTCCATATAATTAAAAATGTAAGGGCTATGGCTCCAATCCATCATGTGTCCAAAAGGTCAAGCTCTGACTTGCTGTCCTTTGGAGAAGCTAGCAGTTACTCACTTTCCTACTCTGCAGACCCCAAGGAAAGATTCAATGGATAAAATCCTGGCCCTACTGAAGTCAATGGTAAAACCCTACTGAAGTCAATGGCAATACGTTTTTAGTTAATGGTTATATTTAATAAGACCGAGGTTTGCTCTTTGGGGAACTTATCCAACTCTCCATGAAGCCAATGGGAGTCTTTCCTCTGACTTCTGTGGGAATTATTCAGAATCTCCTTTCTGAAAGTGAATTTCATTACATGTTATAGAAAAAATTCTCATCTAAAAACCCCCTCTTCATTTAAAAAAAATAAAATCAAGAGACGTCAACACACATCTGTGGATATAACTAAACAGCTAATAGGCAAGGTATCAGCAGATAAGGCTGACAAAGCCCAAAATGCAAACAAACAGCTTCAGAAAATCTGCATTGTACCACAATAAACCATCAGAAATTATGTAAGTGTTCAAGAAGAAGTCAGAGTCTGTGGTAACTGCCAGTATGGTTATATTGTCATTAAGGATGGGGTGGGGACGGAGTGCGGCAACACTTCAAGGCAGCCATTTGACATCATAGTACTTGTCATAGCATGTCCTGTCTCTAGAGATCAGCACCAACATGGGCTATGCGACTGAAGTCTCAATGTCTGCCTGGGGTGCTTTACTGTCACTCATTTAATGCCCCAGCTGCTAATTCTACTTCAGATAGCAGGCAAACATTTAAAAGACATCACATCCAATAAGGAAAATGCATGCCACTTACCGAACATTTTCTTTCTTTGCGAATCCAGGTCCAAAGATTCTCCAAGACAGGTCCTGTAGCCAGCACTGCAGAAAAATGCAGAACTAGTTCTCTCCATCACAGGCAGTGCAAGGGTAACCACACCCTCCTGAAGAGTCAGATAACTTTCACAGCCAGGAAAAATTACTCTTCATTGAAGGCTACATTATAAATATTGCCATAAGAAATATCCAAAACCCCTGATAAACCTGAGCAGATAGAGCAGCTGAACTAGCCAAACAGAAACAATTTAATACATTTCAATTGCATCCCAACCAACTCGATAAAAGTTGAATCTATAGACCAGGATTTTCTAATAAATTAATTTTTCAGAAAGGAGGACACATTTTCCCATTTCCCTGCAAATCCAGGTCCACAGATCCTCCATGATGGGATTGTAATAGCAGGATCTGTTTATAGAGAACTTTGGAAACACTGGGATAGATAAAACTAGTAGCACCCCTTATCTCTGAGGTAATCATTTTCATGTGCATTTCTCCTCACTGAGGGACCATCTACTTGGAGCATTCACCATCCAGACAACACACTGGAGGATGTGAGGATGTCCAGTTTGTGGACCATGGTGAGTGTTATACTGGGAGGCTCTGCCTGTCGCTTTAAAAATTTCCTTGTAAGGACCATAGGCATGTTCAGCTCATGAAGCCACCATGGCTAAGAGGGAATGAGCCCAGAAACTAGATGGAGGAGTCAGGGACTTAGCTCTGTAAGGTTTTAAAAAGGCTCTCCTGTGGAAGCCTTGCTAAAGAAACACTTGACATTTGTATGTGCAGCAAATCTTTCCCAAAGTACTCAAGATGGGTGATCGGGCTGACACTTGAGCTTTCGAAGTGACTACTTTGGACACCAAGCTTTGGTCAGCCTGGAGAAACTTTGACTCTTTTTCACTTCCACCAAAGAAGGGACATCTCTCTCTTCCCCCTAACCCAGCATCTCAAGTGAAGCCAGGTCTCAAAATACCCTTTATTTAAACAAAATACAGTGGTAAAAATACCTGCTCAATATCTACCCGGTTGCTGCCACTGGTAGAGATAAAGAAGTCTGAACTTTGCCATTGTAGATGCATTCTTAAGAAGTTGTATCTTTGGCACAGGAGTTGCAACGTGGTTGCATTATCTGGCAGGTCTTTAAGAAAACTTTACAATTAGAATATGGGTCTGGGCTGATGCCTGGGAAACAGAACTTGGTGTATGCTGCAGGAGACTGTTTGGTAGTTTGATACATTTCCTTGGCTTCTGAAGTTTCAGTATGGCACACAAGTGACATATGCTTTAGTAGGATAGTTGTATAACTATGTCACAGCTATGTGAAATATGCCATCCCACGTACATCACACCTCCCTTTCCACCTTCAAATAGCATCTGATAACCCTCCTGTTCTACAATCTCTCTCCACTCACTGCTCTGTGTTTGTATTAAGCTAATTCTTTTAGAATCTAAGCTTTTCAGAGCAGGACTTCCTTTGACACATTTTACTTTTTATATAACACACTGTATGCTTACAGCACTATGTAAATAGGAACAATAGAGCTGGGCAAAAGTATTCCCAGAAGAAAAATAGTTGGTGTCGGCATCAGGAAAAGTCACAGCGAATCACCACCAGTCCTCCTCCAAGAGGAGCTCAGATACTACAGCGATGAGCATGGTATAAGAACCTATATAGAACAGTTGGATCAACTGTTTAGTTTTGAAGGTAGTTTCCAGAAGAAGGGGGAGGAAATAAATTTTGGCTTCTGCATAGGGAAGTCTAGTGGATGGAAAGTGGAACTTCAGTTTAGATTTCTGCTTGAGCGCGCATATGGTTTAGGATTAGAATTTTCCCATGTCAGAGGAGGAGTGACCAAGATACCATTCATTCTATGGGGAGAGACAGGGGAAGGAAGCAGCTAGTGGATTCTCCAGTCCCTTTTGTTAGATTCTTACAGCTATAGGGGCCTACCCTATTTTCATATGCAAATTGACTTCAGTGTGCATGTTTGTACAAAGGAATGGGAAAGTAGAAATAAGAGCTAACTTGTCTGTTTCTGTTATTTAATTCAGATATTTCTTTGATGAGACCTTGTTTTTGTTTGTTTACGACCTGATTTTGCTAGTTTAAAATGGTAGAAGAGGTTACTGTCTGCCAGAAAAAAATCTACCTTCAAAGCACATTTAATTAAGAAGTCCTTAATAGCTAAACTGAATGGACACTGACGATGGTAGAATGTGAATGCAAATTATTGTATCTAAGGCTTGTACTCATACCAGTCAACAAAGTTGGTGAAAATTACACTGTAGTTTTCCTTTATTTTTCAATGCAATTAAAAATACTTTATTGGCATAATCAGCTTCAAAATCTTTGCTAAAGAAACCTGAGGTATCTTTCAGAGTGGTCCAGATTCTCAGCTATACGCTTTTGTGCTTCTCTGATCCATGAGGGCTGCCAGTAGCCATTTTGGTCCCCAGCATAAAACAGAACATCCTCAAGATTGCTGTACATCATGACAACTTGTGATGGTCCACAGGGGCTGTTGCACTAGGTGGTAAGTGTCAGAATACAGCTTGCTCAGATCATGCCTGTGGCATGCCCACACTCTGCCCCCATGCCAGGAGTTGGCCCGAAAAGCATGGCAGAGAGCTGGTTACACACCTCTATAACCCTGCTTCTCAGCCTCTACATTAATTGCCATAGTCTTCTACTTGACCATCCATACCCTTCCTCCACCTCTAGCTCACCACAACATTTACAGCAGCTGAATCTGGACTCAGCAGTAAATCAGTTTATATTTATAGACATTCAAGATACTTTGAAAACATTGCTATATACACAAATGATAACAGCTCTGTGCAGCGTGGCTTGGGCTTTAGCTGCAGGTAAAATGCAAAGGGGTTAGGGGGAAATAAAACAAGGAAAAATCTGCACCCTGCCAATTTAAGACATATGCACCTTTGCATAAACATATTTCCCTGTACTATGGGCCAAGGCAGAATCTGGTCTACAGCTCAATTCGGTTTGATCCCACCCCCGGGTAATTAACAAAAGCTATTTGCTTCAACCAGAGTGTGGGGGTGAACAAAATCTCTTGGAGGCAAGATGGTCAGTTTCCCGCTTCCATCTGTTTCCTGGTCTGGGAGTGTCCCTAAGTAAGTTTCTTCACTAGGTTGGGAGGATAAGGAACAAGAGAACCTTCTATTCCCCTGTGGGGCTTTCCCCCAGCCTTATACTGCCTCCCTGGTTCAGGCCTGATTCAAAGAGATTCCACTGTCTTCAATGGACTTTGGAACATACCTTATGTCCTTGCTGTAATGAGTCCCTAGTTAACCCCTTACTTGCCTACGTTAATCAGGAGAAAAGCCCCTCACAAGCTGTTTTAATTATTTATCTTAATAATTTCCACACTAGCTACTCCTTCCTAACCACCCCAAAATAATAAAAATAAAAAGGCACTTCTCCTCCAGGCCAAGAAAACAATATGAATGTGGAGTGTGTAAGCCAAGCCATTTTGGGAGATGAGCCTAATAACAGAAAAATCTTCAGTCAATAACAGGAACGTTTTTAGAAACCAAGGCCCACCATGGTCTTGTACTTTGTGTTAATTTCACTCCATAATACTGTAATTCACAGACAAAGACACTGTAAATATAGTTTTTAATTATACAGCTCAACATACAGAAAGAAACCATATTGTATGCACTAAAAAATCTAAAAAAAAAAAAATCAAACCGGTTACCTAAAATCAGATTCAACACAATCTGGTTTGTTTAAGGCACTACAGTGTAAACAATAAAAAAAATACAGACGTAATGTAATTAATGAGTACAAAAATAAAAATACTATTGATCTAAGTATATTTTTGTAACAAAAGACCATTGTTTTTAATGTCATGTAAAATCCTTAATTCCTTGTCGTATATTCCTAAATATATTCTCATTAAATTCTTCTCTATTCAGACAGTGCAATACAGTGACAATACGAAGCATTTTTTAAAAGTCACATGTGCTCAGAATAGTACAGGCTCATTTTGTATACTGCAAGAAGTAAACATAGTACAAAGAGATTCAGTCGATTTACAAGTACTGTGAAAAAATACACTTTTTCCCCTCTGGGTTAATGGTTTTATTTTAAAAATTGCAAAATGTGATGCTAGTTACAATGGAGGCATGTTGGAAACGAAGGGTCCCATTCTGCAAATGCTGCCAAGTATGATGCTTATGTGACTAATATACCTTTAATTTGAATAGCACTGCTCTAAGAAATAAGCTTGTCACTTTGCTGTGTTAGCTGGGTCAGTTGCTCTGCATTTAACTAATACAGTACTTTAAGAGCATCAGTACACAAAATGGTGTAAGATTCTGTTGCTTGATGCAATTTAAATTATGCATGGATAATTATGCATGGATAATTCCCAGAGCTGGAGGCACTCAGCAGCTTGCAGGATTGAGGCCTACATGAGCTTCGCTAATTCAATTTTAGGCCTGAGGGTACATTACGTAGAGGTTAGTTTGTAAAATAAGGTAGTTTTCTCAAAAATACATATTGTCAGATAGATTCACAGAGAGCATTCTTGCCCCAACCCAAATACTTTCAATAAGGAATTAATTAAATTAAAACATTCTGTTTTGTATTACTAATTGTAAGTATGCACAGTCCTGTTGAAATTGCAATGCAAGATGTCAGAGTGTGTTGATTTCACTTTTAAAGATGACACTACTCTATTTGCAAAAGAGCCACACAACTATTGCTCAACTTATTTTATTGTAGAGTTGGAAATGAGGCAATTCCAGTTCATATGAAGTTCAAACAAGGCTGTTTTAGAGACAGCGTTGCCACTCCTGACTCAGAAATTCTACTCCCCACGTGACTGAATGTGCTGTAGTAGCTGATTGCAGTACGCTGGAGTTCGATGCTTATGTTCAACTGCTTCTATTTCTTTTACCAGTAATTCTGGATATAAAACACTTCCTTCTTTTAAAACTTCTGTAAAAGAAGAACATACATTCATAATAATCAAAAGATCTGTCCTTCTCTAGATATGCTTCAAAGTACCTGAAACCTGATCTGGAAGGACATTTAGAGGTGAGAAACTAATATTCAGTCTTTATGCTAATTTAATCCCTGTACTCTTTAGGGCTGTCCATAAATTAAACAACACATTTTCTGGTGATTTTCAAGACCCATTCCCACCCCTTGTAACACTGAAACAAACATGGAAAATTAAGGACCCCTCTCAATGCATGATGTAAATTATGGACAGCCCCTTTGCTGATATTGATATTTGCAATGTTGATAACCATCTGCTTGAAAATGGACTGAAAGTACCAATTCGTTTCACGTAGACCACAAAACAGCTATCATACGGTAGTATATTGCAGTGACTACTAACTTCTGACAGATATGAGGCAGTGACTTAGTGGTGAAAAGTTCTATATCCCATTACATTTCCCTAATCCATCGAGTTACTGAAAGGTGTAAGCAAACAAGGGAAACCTGGACAAGCAACCAAACAAGAACATTACAGAAAAAGCGTAAACAAGGCAAGACTGTTGGGAAACCAGAAGTCAAAGAATCGTGCAAAATGCAAAATCACAAAGATCGGACAAGCAAAAGTTCTGGAAAGGAGAGGCTCAACAAAAACAAGATATGAAAATGATATACAAGAACGTTAAGTTGTATGGCAACAATTAGGCCAATGGTGTGAGCAGTAAACAAGGCTACCGGTGAACTGACAGCAAATGCTGAAGATGTGCTGGAAATATGGAAGGAGCATTTTGACAAAGTGCTGAACCCTGTAGTTCATCCAGATACAAGCATTCTATACAAACTAGACGAACAGGACATCTTAAAAAGGAGAATGGATATCAGTATTGAACCACCATCAGAAGAAGGACTAGAAAGAGCAGGGAAGCAGTTAAAAAATGGGAAAGCTCAAGGAACAGACAATATAACAGCTGAGCTGCGAAAAAAGCCAGCGGGACAAGTGCTATCACAAGATTTGGAAAAATATACGAGAAGGTATGGGAACAAGAGGAGATACCGGATGATTGGCTAAAGACAATACTTGTGCCAATCCTGAAGAAAGGAGATCCTACCAGTCTGAATACTTATAGAGGTAAAAGCTTATCATCAGTGCTGGGAAAAATCATGAGGAAAGTAATTAACAGATTAAGGCCAGTTTTAGAGGAAATAGTAGGTGAGGAACAGTGTGGCTTCAGACCAGGCCAAAGTTGCACGGATCAGATATGTTCCAACAGTTGATGGAAAAAAAGTGAGAATGGAGACTAACGATGTTTGCTGTTTTCATCCACAGCATGTAGGCATTTCATTCAGTTTGGAATAAAGCACTATGGAAAGTAGTAAAAGCATATGGAGTCCCAGATACGATAATTGCAATTATAAAAGTTATGTACGAAATCTCCTCTAGTGCCGTGAGAATTGGTAAAAAATTAAGCAACTGGTTCAAGTTGAAGTTTGGTGTAAGACAAGGCAGCATGGAATCACCATGACTTTTCATCAAGTTCTTAAACTGGGAATTAAGAATGTTAGACAAGTTTGAGGGTGTGATATTGGGTGATCTAGAGTTAAACTCATTAGCTGATGCAGATGACACCTTTGAATTAATGAGGATACTCTTCCTTACTTTGGAAAATTGGTGTAGTCGACTTGGACTTACAATAAATGCCAATGAAATTAAGTGGCTGCATCTTCAAAAGGGACAATAGACAAAATGGTGAAATGCAGCAGCAGTGAAACTGTAGAACAAGTAAAATCATATGTGTATCTAGGAAGCTTGATCAGTGCTGAAGGATGAGGTTAAAAAGAGATGTGCTGCACAGAAGTTCATGAAATTATGGACTGATAAAAACATGTTGGTACCAAAGTGAAAATTTATCAAACCAGTATATTAACAATATTACTCTAATGAAGCAGCTGCATTAAATGAAAGAGACATCAGAAGGCTGGAGGCAGTAGAAAGGAGAGTTGTTTGGAAGATGGCCGGTGTAAAAGTGGAATGATTTTAAAATAAATGAAGAAGTTAGATGGAGAGTAGGGTGTAAAAGCAGAGTATGGGATTGACTGCAATTCAAAAGATTACAATGGTGTTGACACTGTAGAAGACAAACTGAAGATATGGTGCCAAAGAAAATAATATAACACAACCAAGGTCAGTCTGACCTAAAGGCCAACCATTGACTAGATGGTGGAACTTCGTATGACGAGGTATGACCAGACTGGGCTTAATGGAGGAACAAGTAGTGGACAGGAATGAATGGTGTCACTAGTGCTTCCTGTGTCTGTAAAGATGCTCTGGGATGAAAAGAAGCGATCTAGTTTCCAGAGAGGACAAATACACCCACCCACCTATTTGTATGCAACACTGAATATTCAATCTAAATTGCTCATTAAACTATAGCTCCTTCACTGACTTACCTAAGACTGCCCGTTGTATGTTTTGGTCAGGGTCATCCAGATGAATCAACAGTTCTCGATAAAGAAACTCAATATTACTTTTAAGTATAGATTTTTCATCATCATTTCTTATACATTTAAACCAGTTAGTTAAGGCTTGAGCAGCTGCTAGTCGTACATCATGTGCAGCATCATCCAGCCGCTTTAAGAGTTCTAAAAAGAAGCATACACATAACTGAACAAGTAACACTGGACAGATGTGAGAAATTATTAAAAAAAAATCTTCAAATTGTTTCTTCTTCTTTTATATTGCGAGACACTGCAAAATACAAATGTACTTCACGATTGTTAAAAGCTAAAGTTTATAATGTTGTTTCTGTCACCCTTCTTTGAGTTCCTGGAATATATCAAATACACTATACCAAATAATCACGCACTATATCATTATTTGATTGTTACTGATTTAGCTGATTTTTATTTAAAAGCAAATATCCGTAAAGATATTATGAATTTATACTCATGCATTAAAAAAAAATACAGATGGGAATTTAATTAGAACTTGAAGCATCAACACTTGTTTCAGAAACATATTTCTGACAATTATTGTTATTTGAGCTAATATTGTATATTAAATTACTATGAGTTTGAGACTATCTATGGGACTGAGGTATTGCATTCATGGAGTCCAATAGGATGTGACGAGGAAATCCTTTGATAATTGTTCAGTGATAGTACTGATTATTTATGCCTATAAAATGCGTTGCTGGTTTCCTGCTGTGCTATGTGGCAAACACATTAATGACAATGGCGCCCTACTTGGAAAAAAGACATTTAAAATCACCATTCCTGATACCCACTCCCCAGCAGATTGTGCTGAGGACCATTTAGTTCAGCACTTAGCTACTATGCTGATGGGTGCTATAGAAAATCCTAAGAATAGTAAAGCTATTCGACTGCATGGAGTTGCGTGTTTTTGTTTTTTTTGTTTTTAAATACAAGTGCACATTATCTATTCTTCCTGGCTTTTTTTGCATGTCCATCTACACATTTGTCTGTATAGAACATTATTACCATTACTCTTTGAAGTGGAGTCTACTTATAGCATTACCTCATGGTGTGCTGTCAGCATGATTTTGAACAGTACTGGCAAAAAGCAGAGCACAGCTACTGTTTGCATAATTTATTTCTGTTCTGCCTGCACTAGAGTTAAAATTAGGATTGCCAAGTTTCTAATCGCACAAAACTGAACTCCCTTGCCCTGGCCTCTTCCCTGCCCTGCCCCTTTACTGAAGCCCCACTCCTGCTCACTCCATCCTTCTCTCACTCTCTCCCAGCCTCATTCACTTTTACCAGGCTGAGGCAGGGGTGAGAGAGGGGGTGCGGGCTCTGGGGTGGGGTAGGGAGTTGGGGTGCGGGAGGTGGTGTGGGCTCTGGGAGGGCGTTTGGGTGCAGGAGGGGGCTCAGGGCTGGGGCAGGGGGGTTGGGGTACTGGAGAGGTGTGGGGTGCAGGCTCTATGAGGGATTTTTGGTGCTGGAGGGGGTTCCGACCTGGGGCAGAGGGTTCAGGGTATGGGATCCACCTCAGGCGGCCCCTGAAGTGGCTGGCACGTCCGGCTCCTCGGTTCTTGGCCAATGGGAGTTGCAGTGCCAATGCTCGGGAGCCTGCCTTTAGCCCCACTGATCGGACTTTTAGCAGCCTGGTCAGCAGTGCTGACCGGAGCTGCCAGGGCCCCTTTTCAATTGGGTGTTCAGTGGAAAACCGGATGCCTGGCACCCCTAGTTAAAATGCACACTATTTGGTGCCATCTAAGTTGGGAATGATGCAGATGAGGAGCAGGCAAGTCTTGAAGAGGAGAGGATACTATAGAGTAAGGTTCCATCTAGTGGGCAAACACACAATAGCACTATGATGGCTTTAGGTTTGATTCTGCAAAAATTTTATGCATGTTCTTCACTTTACACACCATTAAGTAGACCCAGTGACTCCAAGTGAAACTATTTAAAGCCGGTAAAGTTAAGCACATGTGCAAGTCTTTGCAGGATCGGGACATTAGAGTGCAGCCGGTCAAACAAAAATGCTGCCAAATGCACAAAACTGTACAGCCTCTTCCCAAAGTTTGTATGTTTATGAAATTATTAGAGGGAAAAAAATTACCCATGAACCCCGATAAAATACCAGATCAAAGAATGCAGAAATAGCCTTCCTTTAGATAGTGCATGTGTACAGGACAGTGAAGGAATGAATGGCTGGGAAAGCAATTTATTCACTCAGGGTAACACTTACCTCTATGTAGAGAGCCAGCACAAGCTCTATGCACTATTTACATTTCACTTAAGCCATGCCTAGGCCTCATACTGGCCCTGTACACAGGTTCAAGGCTAGAGGACACCATGATAGAAACTGCAGAAGGGCTAGACCAATGGTGAAAAACGTCTTAGGGTCAGCCTGTGACCTGCCTAATGCACCAGTCACATATTTTTCAGGCTCAAAGAGCCTAAAACCCTGCTTTAGGTGAAAATGCAAATGCAATGTTAGCTACAGAGTTGCTGACATCTCCTCTATAAAGAAGAATTAAAATATTATTTTAAATTCTAAGAATATTTACAGGATTTAAAAAAAAATCATACCAGGATAAATGTTGTTGAGTTTATCTCGATCAAACTGCTTCCCACAGATGTTTAAAATAACACTGACAATACGACAAGCCATTAATCGAGTCATTTTAGAATCTTCATCCAATGTGGCAATTACCTGAGGCATCAGTGCATCTTCTAGTTTAAAAATCTACAATCAATAAAAAAAAGTCATTAAAAAAATAGTAGCTTTTCATGCAATCCCTTGCAATCCGTGTACTAATTAGTTATTTTAACTTTCAGGAGATCTGTCAAAGATGCTGTCTACTTTAAAACCATTTTTAAAAAGCCAATTGCTCGCTAATATTTATAATACTACTTCATTTGTGCTCTTTTATTTTTTGGATTTCATTCAGCATGGAGAATGAAAATAGATGAGCAGACCAGTCATTTGATGAGCACTTTCGGGGAAACATGCAGTTGAATCTTGTGTAAGGGGCAAAGGCATATGTTTAACTTGCTTTTGTATATTTTAAAAAACATTTTGGTAAGATGAGGATTATTTTTGTACACTAGCACATACCGCTCATGATCTAAATGGAAAATTTAAATAAAGGCCTTTGTAATACAGCATGCCTGCAGTTGAATTTCATATTTTTGTCTTTTGTAATATGTATATTCTGTACTGCATATTACTGTAGCAAGGTACAATGGTCTTGATGCAGCAAAACACTTAAGCATGTGCTTAATTTAAGCATGTAAGTAGTCCCTTTGAAGTCAGTGGGAGTGCTTATGCATGTAGTTAAGTCTGTGCTTAAGCATTCTGCTGAATCAGGGCCTATCACAGAAACCCCTCGCCCCCGAAATTAGGTAGTTTTAATAGCACTTTTAAGGTCACTTGTTTCTTTATTTTAAATAGCAATTCTTTATAGTTAATTAAATGTTAAACAGAATGAGGGAGGGATGTTAACGAGACCAATAGATTAACTGTGGCCCATAGTATTCTCAACGTGACCTGCACCATAAGCATCCTCCTCTTACAGTGAACTGTATAAAAAGCAATGTGATTCAAAGATGCCACTTGGACCTAGATGAAGCTTTGCCTACACCTGTTCCCTTTTCTCAGTATTCGTCCAGAGGTGATAGAAAAATAATAAAAGACAAGAATACTCTATGTGAGTTCATTCGCAAGCATAGTGATTGTTTGGTTTCACCCACATAGTTGTTACTGGGACATTTGATGCACTGGATTAGGTACACCACACATTTTGATAGGCATGGGTAGGACCCCAGAATCTCGAAAGGTGTGTTGTGGAGCGTACTCCTTCGCATCATACTCTGTGGTAACTGAGTGCCTGCATATGGACAATACATTTCTTGGTTACCCCACACTGGAAGCCATACAGAGTGAAAACAATTACAACTCATATTTGATGGGGTCCACTTCCTGATATAAAAAAAACTTTCCTGAACCTCCCATCCCCCAACCTCACCAAGTTCAGCATCAGAAGCAAGCTCCCCACAGAGCAGGATACAAGAAATCAAAGTGACACCAGACCCTGCCTGAATAACAGAAAAAAATCTGCAGCCATATCTCTACTCTACGAAGATCAATACCCCGCTAACACAGCTTTCAAAATGCATGGGTCTGATACATGCCTCTCATAACATGTGGTGTACTTCATCCAGTGCATCAAATGTCCCAAAACAACTATGTGGGTGAAAACAAACAAAATCACTATGCTTGCAAATGAACTCTCATAGGAAAATGATGAGAGACAAAAACACCATATCACCCGTGGGTGAATACTTTTCACAAATTTCAGAGTAGCAGCCGTGTTAGTCTGTATCCGCAAAAAGAACAGGAGTACTTGTGGCACCTTAGAGACTAACAAATTTATTAGAGCATAAGCTTTCATGGGCTATAGCCCACTTCATTGGATGCATAGAATGGAACATATAGTAAGATTGTATATGTGTATATATATACACACACACACACACACCCCTAGATAAGTTGGAAGTTACCATGTGTCAAATATAAAGGGAAGGGTAAACCCCTTTGAAATCCCTCCTGGCCAGGGGAAAGCTCCTCTCACCTGTAAAGGGTTAAGAAGCTAAAGGTAACCTCGCTGGCACCTGACCAAAATGACCAATGAGGAGATAAGATACTTTCAAAAGCTGGGAGGAGGGAGAGAAACAAAGGGTCTGTGTCTGTCGGTATGCTGTTCTTGCCAGGGACAGAACAGGAATGGAGTCTTAGAACTTTTAGTAAGTAATCTAGCTAGGTATGTGTTAGATTATGATTTCTTTAAATGGCTGAGAAAAGAATTGTGCTGAATAGAATAACTATTTCTGTCTGTGTATCTTTTTGTAACTTAAGGTTTTGCCTAGAGGGGTTCTCTATGTTTTTGAATCTAATTACCCTGTAAGATATCTACCATCCTGATTTTACAGGGGGGATTTCTTTATTTCTGTTTACTTCTATTTTTTATTAAAAGTCTTCTTGTAAAAAACTGAATGCTTTTTCATTGTTCTCAGATCCAAGGGTTTGGGTCTGTGGTCACCTATGCAAATTGGTGAGGCTTTTTTATCCAACATTTCCCAGGAAAGGGGGGGGTGCAAGTGTTGGGAGGATTGTTCATTGTTCTTAAGATCCAAGGGTCTGGGTCTGTAGTCACCTAGGCAAATTGGTGAGGCTTTTTACCAAACCTTGTCCAGGAAGTGGGGTGCAAGGTTTTGGGAAGTATTTTGGGGGGGAAAGACGCGTCCAAACAGCTCTTCCCCAGTAACCAGTATTAGTTTGGTGGTGGTAGCGGCCAGTCCAAGGATAACGGGTGTAATATTTTGTACCTTGGGGAAGTTTTGACCTAAGCTGGTAAAGATAAGCTTAGGAGGTTTTTAATGCAGGTCCTCACATCTGTACCCTAGAGTTCAGAGTGGGGGAGGAACCTTGACACCATGCAAACTGCTAATTAGCCTCTCACAGTTTGCATGGTAACTTCCAACTTATCTGTATGTATATCTTACTATATGTTCCATTCTATGCATCCAATGAAGTGGACTGTAGCCTATGAAAGCTTATGCTCTAATAAATTTGTTAGTCTCTAAAGTGCCACAAGTACTCCTGTTCTTTTTACTTTTCACGAAGTGATCACTCCATATTTGACCTCTCAGTCTTCGTCCTCAAAGAAAACCTGCACACCACTGTCAAAAGACGAGCCTAGGAACGTTAAATTCATAACTCTGCTGGACACTAAAAATCATGGACTTAACAGAGACACTGGTTTTATGGCTCAATACAACAATTTGTAAAATACCCTACTGCCTACTACCTTCCTTTGCCCTAAGTCTGTAGAGGTATTAACAGCCCACTTAAAATTAAGTGGTCTCTTACAATGAATGTGTACCCCTTATATTTACCAATCTGTCCCCTTTATATTTAGCTGTGACACTCTGGTTACCTTCCCCTGAATTGAGGAAGAGCTCTGTCAAGCTCAAAAGCTTGCCTTTCTACCAACAGAAGTTGGTCCAATAAAAGATATTACCTCATCTATCCATATTACCTCTCAGTCACATCCTGGGACCAACATGGCTACAACAATATTGCAAACATCTTAAAACATTACATTTTTTAAAGAATTAATTTTGTAAAGGGTAAGTTTGTGTTTACTACGTGTGCCTTGTGTTTTCCTGCCTAGGTTTTAAAGTACATTTGTTGGGGAAAGAGGAGTTTACCTCTTTTGGTGAAAGCATTTCACTGTAAATAAGAGCCCAAAGGCACGATACAGCTGTAGTGCGGATGGCAGCTGCTGTTCTTCCAGCATGCCACTGCAGATTAGGAGCCAATATCTCTCTTATCACGATCTCAAAGTAGCTAAGAAACTGCCTAAAGCCAAAAAAAAAAGCAAATAAAGGTTTATAAGAAAGTGGTGAAGAGATTCAAAGGCTGAAATGGAGAGTTTTCAGTATTGGAATGAGAGAGAGAGAGAACAGGAAGAACATAGCATAAAAAAAATTAAACATATATATCCAATATGATTATTATATATATTAATATAATTTAATTGCTTATCTTTTTTTGGCTGAATATCTGGACTTCAAACAAAACACTAACATATTCAGGGAAAGAGGAGTCTGGACATTTTTCCATTTCAGACACTGCTAATGACTTGTGTGTTAATCTTGGTAAGCTGTTTACTTTCTCTGTGTCTGAATTTACCGACTGTGGAGATAATACAAGCCCAACTCACACAAGTGCTGTGAAGGTTCATTAAAGTTTGTGCAGCCCTTTGAGATAGTCCAGTGAACAATGTTATATACAGTGAGAAGTGTATTTGCTATTGATGAGACCCGTATTACTGATATTACACCAAATCCACATTGGAATAATTCAGCTTTTCCTTCGCTCAGAAGCCACTCTCCCTAGGATAAGAGCTTTGTAGTATTTTCTGGTGGTACCAGCATCAATGCAAGGGTTTTTTTTTTGGAATTTGGGGATGTCCACCATGATTGTGTGTATTGGGTGCCACCTGGGTGCAGTGCACCCATTTCATTGTACAAATGAATGAAATCATATGTAAATCAGTGATACCTTTGATATGAACAAGAATTAACTATTTCTTCCTCCTTCTCCTCCGTTGAATAAGCTCTTAAAATACCCAAAGCTGTTGTAAATCTAAACAACTATACCCGATTACCCATCTAATTCCAGCTAAAACAATCCTCATTTTAAACTGAGTATAAAAAGTGGATACTTTGGACACCAGCCTTCCTTCCCACACACACACAAAGAAGAGCTGCTGCTGACCTCCCCAAAAGTCCCTTTGGCTTCAGGGTGAAGTAAGTGGCTCCTATAAAGATATGGCATGGATTGGAAGTACACAGTGTGCAGATGTCAGTGACAAACACTAACCCCAAACATTAAAAAAAAGTGACAAAAGATTTCCTTAGTGGCCATGTATCAGTCCAACAGGGACTGCTAGTGACTTTTTGTTGTAGGAATGTAACTATTACTGCCAGTCCTTACAAGATAGATAGGAAGGGCCTTATCAGGTAGGTATAATCTGACTAGAATATAGAGAGATGATTTAAATCATCTGATTGGCTAGCATGCCAGGCATTAATTCTCTAGTATATTGATTCTCTAGTTCTCTGTACACACAAATTGGAAATCTATATCTTCTATATGATAAAATCCACACACCTGTTTTTTGTTTGTTTGTTTTAAACTGTTTCAGTTTATAATAGCAGTCAGAATTGGAGACAGGCAAGATTATGTTCTCATTTCTGCTTCTTGCCCAGCAGGTGGCACTTAAGAATCAGCAATAAATGAGAAACATAACCTCTAAAATCAAATTAATATCTGACAAAAACCTTTGATTTACAGTTTCAACAATTAACACATTTTAATGCATTTAAAAAAGTTTTTTTCAAAAGATAACGGTCATTTTCTACACAATAGGTTACTAGGAAAGCCCTGAGTGTGAACCATTATTACTTCAAATTTCCTTTTAGCTCTAAGGTGGTATGTGCTAAATGACCCTTAGCTACTTTAGTGTTTTTGGTAAGGCCTTCTTTAAACAGTTAAAGAAAATCTATCAAAACATACAGGTATTTCCAACAGCCTTTCCTACTTACTACAATGGCAGGCTATCTCTGAAAAATAATTTCTTCAAAAATGCCTTGTATTTGGTATTAGCGAAGCAAATCAGGGCTAATATTGTAAGACTTTTACACCAAATGAGATGGCCACACAAAAGCTGCTATTAAGGTAAATTGGAACTTGCCAATCTGAACAATTAAAATGTGTAAGAAGAAGAAAGCAAATTACTTTCACATAATGAATGCTATTATATGACTAAAAGAAAGTAAACACCATTTTCTAGGATGAGGCAGTAGTTCAAACATTGGAATCTCTCTGGATACTTCTACAATGATACTATGTATTTATGCATTTTCATTACTCTATGTATAACAATAAGAATGTACTGTATACAATGATGAAATCTCATAATCACATCGGTACAGGCCAACTTCTAAATCCGAGCTATTTCAATACAATGAGATTTTGTCCTCTTTGTTGATAGTATTCACTAATTTGTGAATTTGTCTTCACTTGTTTATAAAACAACTAACATGATTCTATGTCCGTAATAATAATACATACCAGTTACCATCAGTAGATCTCAAAGCGCTATTACAGAGTAAAGAATCATTACTTCCACTTTACATACGCACATAGTTATACTCTACCCTCATTTTCTTTAGATGTCACTTATTTTAATACTTTCTTCTAGATTTATCCCTTTTCTCCGTTTTCTATTCCACAACTGTAATTAGCAAATTCAATTAACTATTAAATTGAATTTACATTTTATAAAACAATATTAATATGCTATACCCAAATCAATTTTAACAAAATATGAGTCATTTTCATATGAGAGGGCAGAAAAATATCATTGTAATTTCCACGGTATTCACCTGAGGTGGTGGGCCAGAAACTCAAGAAACACTGTTGGTACTACCTCCAACCTAAGACGAGAACTGGGGTGCAGGTGGCTGAGAAAGTTGCAGTAGAGCAGTTTATCCAGATCATCCCAGCAGGGGGGAAGAGACTTAGTGGTATGTCATCAGCCTGAGACACTGGCCGAGTCCCTAAGCTTCATGGACAATTACATGGCTGCAGACAGACCCCCTTCCAAGATGCCAGGTGGTAGTTATACTGGGTCCAGAGAGCTCTGAAGCATGTGCCAGGCAAGGAGGCTGGTCTAATTGGAACTACGCCTCTGACTGAATGTTACCAATGGCCCAAGGTCACAGCAAGGCTGCTGATCCCGGGTCCAAACTGGAACAGAAACCCAGAGAATATTCGGACCTACAGAGAAGGAATTCCGGGGGCAGGGGCAGACATACCCTGAGTGATGAACAGGCTATGACCTCCACTTTAGGAAACACTTCTGCCTGTGGGAAATAGGGTCACCTCTGATGTGACTGCCCCTTTACAGAGAGCGTGACTATGGGCAAGTCTGGACAGCTGAAAACAGGGCAAAAAACGAGGCCCTGCTAAAAACGGTAGTCCCTGTACAAATTAATGGGGTGGAAGTGTCAGGGCCAGGTAAGTCAGGATGCAGCCAGACATTGGTTAAAGAACAGCTGATGGACAGTCAGGGTATCCCAGGAGAAGCGGTCTTCCTCCAGTGTGTGCACAGAGATGTACGACCATTACAGATGTGCAGTATCGGTGGGGAAACCTCTTTGTAGCACTAGCATCTAACCTGGCATATCCAGTAATCTGAAAGAGACTGGAGATATTTTAGGGAAGTCATAAAGGAGTGGGGCATTCACTCACTTGAGAGGATACCCTGATCTCAGAGACCCAAGAATCTGAGGGTCCGAGGGAATTGGTGGGGTTAGGTGAAACAGGCAACCCCAGGAAAGGGACTTCCCACCAGGCAAAAGACTCTCTGGCAGGAAGTGATGCAGGGAGGCAGCTGCATAGCACCCCAAGGTGCAGTGTTTAGCTGCCAACCTGCCCTGGATTGGAGCTGGTGGAGATGGGGCCCAGGCTCCCCTACCAACACCTAAAGAAGCTCAACTATTAAAGCCTAACCTTTGACAGGGAACCAAATTGATGGAAGACCCTGAAGATACAAGGGTCTGGATCACAAGGCCCCAACCAAAGAGGGAAGCTCTGAACCTCCCAGTTGATCCTGAAGACCTCCTCGTTATTGGACTTTTTCTTTACACCCTGAAAGAGCTGGACTTGCAGACATGACCTGGCCGGAGGGTTAAGTCACCGAGGACAGACCTCTGTAGGATAGAGCTGTGGTGAGAAAGGGGAACTCCTGGAAAGAAACAAACCCCCGCCCAACCAGGAGGTGGCATTGGCAGTGAGTGTTCCCCTTCACATGGGGTGCTGGGCATTCAGAGTTAAGTCGAACAAATACTGTAACAGTTACTTATTAAGCACCATGAGAGGGCTAAGGGCAGTATAAAACAAATGGAAGATATGGTACTGGCCCGAAGGACCTTGCATTCTAAATTACAGGTCAGGGATATAGTGCATCAGCTTACAGCAAATGGTTAAATCTCAGATCAATGCAAATGCTTCCCAAATTGCTTCCGACCTCTCTTATTTTTAGTGGAAGAAGACTTACAAACCTTGGGCCTGATCCTGTAATCACTCATGGGAGAAGTCCTTATTCACATAAGTAGTCACAGACTTCAGTAGGATTATTCATATGAATAAGTGTTGCCGTTCAGGCCCCAGAGTGGTCTGGATATACAATGTAGGCAGAGATGTGTAGAAACGTGGCTTAAAACCTTTCAGTTCAAAAAAGGATAGTATTATCAAACACCGGCTTAACCACACAGGCCCTGATCCTACAATGGGACCTGGGAATACCTGTAAACAACAGGATTCACCATTTATTAGTAGATTCCAGAGGATGTAGGCCTGTAACATATTCGTAATGCTTTAATGGTGAAAACAGTAAAGAAAAAGTTAAGCAACAGGATACCTTCAACATTAGTCATTAAAAGCAGTCATAAGTCCTTACTGAGTATGAAGTTCAATGCATTTCTAAACACCATGTTAGAACGTAGCTTTTTTTAATAAAGTGGAGGACATATTTTTCTGTTTTTTTAACTGTTAAATTTTCCATTGATAAATAAATCTTCAGTCCTTGCTTGTAACAGCTAGCCAGAAAGACACTGTTTCATTCCTAAAATTCTCATCTCAGCTCTCACCGCTACACAGCCTTTCTACAGTAGTTTTTTGTTTTTGTTTTTAAAAACAAACAACTAAACCAAACCCTCCACCATTGCCCAACCACCAGTGCAGCTCTATCGTGATAGCGAAGGTGGGAGAGCTACTGTGGACAGAGCCCAAACTTCTTTACTACTGTGTCATGCCAAACTCTCCTGAGCAGAATTAGATAATATAACAGTAAAAATGTCTGAGACCTGTAGTACATAGTGAGACTTCCCCCCCAAACGCTAATGCAGACACAGCCACAGGGGTTAAATAACTACCATGAACTTGATTTTTGAACAATATTGTACTGTTCAGGTGGTACGTGTGAAATCAGAGCTGTACCTACCCCTGAGAGTTGATGGTCTCATTTGCTTTCTGGAGCAACTGTGATAAAATAGTGAAAAGCTTTAAGCGCATTGGTGGGTCTTTGGTTGGCTGAAGACATGTCTTAAGGATGAGAATGAAATCTTGAAGGGCTTCACCTATTATAGGACCTAGAAAATAAATATTTAAATCTTGATTGAATTGTACTAAATATTTTAATCTTACATTTAAATATTTAGCATATAAATCCAATCTGTAAGGTAAACTACTTCCTTTCTTCTTCAACACTTGGGTGAACAGTTGGCTGTAGCAATAGTTTGCCATTTGATCTGTTCCTGTGTGGCCAAAAGGGCTTGATGGGCCAAGAGTCCAACATTGGAACAGACTTGATGCACCCATTTAATAGGGGGTCTCTGGTGTTAAATTAACATTTTACTTTATGTACTGCATCAGTCCTTGCAAAATAATTATGACACAACGTATCACCTGTCAGAGTCCTGAGTGGGTCAGAAGAGTGGCTATGTTAGAAAGCCCTTCCACTCCCCATTGGAATGACAAGGGTTAAAACTGCAAAGCCAGGAAGCAGCTGGAGCCTGTTAACTATCCTGATTTATTTGTAAGAAAGAGGTCAACTGCTGGGAGGGTTTTAAGCAGCAAGTGTGACCCAGCCACTACTGACCTGGTTGTAAACTTCCAGTAGGTTTCAATCTGTATTTGATTCAGACTATTTACAGGCCCGGCCAGACCGGTTTGTTCACCTGCCGCGTCTGCAGGTTTGGCTGATCGCGGCTCCCAGTGGCTGCGGTTCGCCACTCCAGGCCAATGGGGGCTGCAGGAAGCGGCATGGCCCAAGGGACGTGTTGGGCGCCCTTCCCACAGCCCCTATTGGCCTGAAGCGGCGAACTGCGGCCACTGGGAGCGGCGATCGGCCAAACCTGCGGACACGGTAGGTAAACAAACCAGTCTGGCCTGTCAGGGGCTTTCCCTAAACAAGTGGCAGACTGGCTTTGAGAACCACTGCTCTACTCTGCTCTGGAGAAGAAGAAAAAAAAAAAAAAGCAAAGAAACATGATGGTTCACTAGCAGCCTTATTTTTGTATTGTTTGGAGCAAGGAAAAGCTTCCAATGACTATTGTGAGGAGGTTAGCTGAGAACTTTACTACACTTTGGCATTGAAGAATGGGGAAGAAGTATCCAATAGAAGCAACAATATTCTGTCACATGAAAAACTGCCTGATTAAAAGTATTCAGATTCCAAAAGAAGTTCAACACTGTATCTGGAAGTGTGTTGTCTCCAACTTGGAGCAAATAATAATCTCAGATGTCTAGATTTAAACATAGGGCATAAAATACATCTTGGTAAATTTCCATGCCATAAGTAAGATTTTATTTTTGTAACAATTATTCAGATGCATTGCTTTATGCTAGACCTGAGGTATTGTTAAAACAATGCCATTAAATCATGTTTTGATAATAGCAAGTTAAATAGATGGAGAACAAAATAATCTACACCACTTATTTCAACAGAAATTCCAATTCCTGCAAATTAAAAAAAAAAAAAGGTGGGGAGGAATTGGAAAGGAGTAAACCTCACTAAATTGATTCAATGCAACATTGTGTGTGGGAATGAAAAGAAAATGGGAATAGTACTAGGAGCTGCTGTTTTAGACAAGACAGAAAACACAGAAAAAAGCATATCTCCATTATGGGTGAAAGCCAAAATATTTGCCCAGACATTTTATGATTTTTCATTAAGCAAAACAGACAAATGTCTAGAAATTCCATAAATCAAGAAAAGGAGGAGAAGGACTGTTGGCCTCTCGATATTTGTATTGGACAGTTGTTGTTCTTCTCTAAGGACTAGTCTACATTTTAAAGTTAACTAGGATTAAGGTAGATGTGAATTCAAAATGCAAAAGCTATTATGGAATAACTCCATTTGTAGACAAGTCCTAAGGGTGAGGCTGGTCTCTGTACAAAGCAAGAGAGGTGCCTCAGGTGGGCTTCTTGAGGCAATCTGGAGATGAAGGGAGATTGAGTAATTTATCACTGGAAGTCTTAATAGTTAGAATGGTGAGAAGCTACTTGTCCCTGAAAGGCCATAGAGGATTTTACTAGATACAATAGGGGGAACTGTGTTGGGGTACCTGTTCCAGCAGAAGGAGACTAGAAAAATCGTAGATGCAAGACAAGGAGGAATGGTGATACAAAAGGCCTTATGACATATTTAAAGATGGCATTGTAAGAAGGGGAAAGAGAATGTCACTAAGTAATTCTTCTTCTATTGAGGAATGTCCACCATTCCTGTCTTTTCAAGCAATTTCAGTTGAGATAGGCTAATTGGTTATGCATCTGAACAGCAGCTAGAGCAAGGAACTGGTTATATTTTATTTTTTATACAATTAGAATACCGAGATTCCCTTTTACAAAGTGCCTAAGTGAGCTTATTTATACAAGTTTCAATAGCAATGATCCAAAATAAGAATTTTTTAGGTAAATTCTTGCGAAAGACAGTATTTTATGGCTGCATTCAGGTAACTAGTTACTTGTGTTAACAAGAAAAATTACTTCTAGAATATCAGATTTTTAAGGCCCAATCCTGCAAAGACAAAGGCATGTGTTTAACTTCATGCATATGGGTAGTCTCACTGACTTCAAAGGAGTTACTCACATGCTTAAAATAAAGCACATGCTCGCATGCTCTGCTGGACAGGGGCATAAACATACAACATACAGTTTAAAATAAGTACACAAGGTGTTTCATTACACTAAAAATTCAGGTGTTAAATGAATATTTTTATTATTCTCCAGGCAGTCCATACATTCTGAAATGCTCCTTAAATACCACAAAACTTCATATCTTTTCTTGCATCATGAACCTGTGAAGTTTCTGAATGTTAAACTTATAAAATACAGCATGTTCGAAAGGCATGGAGACTGTTGTAGAACACAAGAAATGTCTAAGATCCCCATTACCTTGCTTAATGAGTCATACCTGAATGAGTGGCAATGACATCTAACTGTAATAATTCTGGAGAATAGCAGTTCCAACGATCATGCGATACAGATACCCACTCCATAAGCTGATCTATATGTTGTTTATACAGATCAAGAAAACCACTCAAATGCTGCACCTGAGCTAATGAACACATTGACTCCTCTACCTGTTTAAAAATAAACAAAAACCAAAAATAGGTGAATTTAACCAAAATGTTGGTTAAAAAAAAACCCCAAACGTTTTTGGAAATTTTTGATGAAGCTGACCATAATGTCATCACCACCAAGAATTCAGAGAACAGCATAGGCATGTCTGTAAGTATCAGTTATTTTTAGTTTTTAAATAAAATAAGAAAATTCAAGAGACAAAAAACCCTCACCATTTCTTAGTAGGGAAGTCATGGTCAATATCTAAACATAATTTATCACAGTATTATACCTGTTAACTTCAATTTTAAAATGGAAAAATTGTTTTTGCTTCACTATGACATCACACAGAACACTGCAATGCAGCATCAAAACTGATGAAACTCAGTGTCACATAAAAGGACCTCAAAGCCAATCAAAATTGTAAAACAGTTACTTTTCCATGTAGATAAGTAGTGGTTTCCTCCCCAACTCAATAATGCTTAAAACACTTATATAGGAGGTGACCTTTCTCCAGCAAGAATAGCTGGATGTGGTTGCCTCCAAAGCCTATCACTACTACTTCTTGGATCAGCCAAAATGTTTTTTTTTAGAAAAATAAAATACTATGTGCTCCATCTTCGCAGACGCTGAGCATGCTGACTTTGCAGCATTCCTAGCTCCTGCCTGTTTGGTGACAGTGTTGACATCAACCTTCCTTTTTACATATTACCAATTCCATTAATTCAGTGAGGAAAAAGTGAAACACGTAAATAAAGAAATACCAGATGAACATGCAAGCTACAGTTATGTGTTATGCAAGAAAGCATAAGGATTTTCATAGTAATCTATAACAGGTGTATTCATGCATAAAATTGTTTGCTTTTATAGCTTCTTAAATCTCCTATCAAAAGTACATGTCCACTAAAGGTGTGATCCAAAGCCCACTGAAGTCAGTGGATACACTCTCACTGATTTCAGTAAGCTTTGGATCATGCCCTAAGGGCCTGATTGTGATATCCCCACACTGAGCAGTACTTTAATTCCACAAGGAGCCCCACTGACTCCAATAGGACTACTTATGGTATAAGACTGAATTCAATGTGAATACAGGTGACATAATTTAGCCTTAAACAGTTAACTGTAACTAAAATTATATGCATTTGTTTTGCTATTTTTAAACTGTACTCAACTGTTCTGGTGTCTGGGCCCTTTAGAATTTTGAAGATAGATCGCTGGCTTGACAAGTCATTAGGAAGCGTCAGATGTGAAAAGATTTTAGAAAAGGCAGGATTTGCTAAGTACAAAGATTATACTTTAAGTGACTTTGCCTGCACCCAAGACAAAAGATTGCTGCTTTCTGTAGGATCTTTGCATTCTAGTCAAAATTACTCAATATTTGTGTTTCAAAGTATTTTTGTTGACCTGTAAATAAATCAGACCATTCCACAAGACTGAGCTGTGTATTTGAGTTCAAAACCATTGTCTATCATTCCGTATATAAACCACCACAACTTTTTTTTTTTCATGGAAAAAGGAAGAAAGTACAAAATGATGTAATTCCAATCAAGGATACAATAGAAGCATTGTTCAGAGGTGGTTTACAATAAACTGTTCAAACTTTCCATTTGTGCTAGTAACATAGGAGGGTACACATTAAATCCACAGATAGGCAGATGTCCAGCATTAGTTTCACAACCTTGTAATACATTTGACTGAGTCTCTTAAGAAAATTGGCAAGGGTTACTTTTAATTTCTATAAATATTTTAATATCTAACATGACCCATCCTGCATTAGCCAGCACTGCAGTGGTCCTCAAACTCACACAGCCTTTCTAGTCAAAGAGATGAACTTACATTACTGTGACATAGACCTACCTGTAAGTACAAATGCTGAATTATCCTCATACCAACAATCAAAACAGACCTGATGGAAGGACAAGATGGCTCACAAGAGTGGTAAAGGAATAAAAAGCCTTTAAACTACTATATCACCCGTTCAAATCTGGACAAGTTCAGAACTGATCTAACAGAGCTGCTATCTGATGGCTGAAATGAGTTCCAGCCACCTAGAAAATGGAGGGCCACCAACTAAGCACAGTACTTAGTAGGTGGTCTTACCCCATTTTCATGGTGCTTAGTTGATGGCCTGTCTTCATTTTCTATAGGACAGGTAATTAATGTAAAATCTAGCTCTTATATAGTGCTTTTCATTGGTAGATCTTAAAGCACTTTACAAAAGGAGGTCAGTATCTTTATCCCCATTTTACAGATGGGGAAACTGAGGCACAGCATGGTGACGTGGCTTGCCTGAGGTCACTCAGTAGGCCAGTGGCAGAGCTGGGCACAGAATCCAGATCTCTGAGTCACAGGCCAATGCTCTATGCACTAGGCTTCACTGCCTCCCGCAAAGAAATTGGTGCCATTGCTAACTGATCAGCAGATGAGCTAAAAATCCAGTAAGTATGAAGAGTGCACTATTCTCTTACAATTAGAAGTACACAAGATAATCATTGATGCCCTACCAGTGTATCTCTGCAACCTCCTTAAATAATAGCTTGGAGGTTTAGTAATTCAAAGGTTCAGATGGTTCAGGTATATTCACAAGATCTTTTGATCCTGAATAAGGAACTCTTCTCAGAGCAACACATTTCTATTTTTAAGCTAGCTGGAAGGCATTTGTCTTCTATGGACAAAAACTATTTCAGTAGGGCATTTTGCTTTTTGGAGTTGTTTATATTGATTGTATAGCAGCCTAGGGCACAAAGCATGAAATGCACTATGTAAAAAAAGCATTTTATTGTACTTTGTGGAGGTTTTGGAAAAAACACACAAGAAATATATTGAAATTCTTAGATCATTCAAGGTAGAATTTATGGGACACAGAGTAATAATGAGGAAAGGAGGAATCTGAAGATATATATAAACCACAGTTGAATACATTCTTGACATAGCCTTAAGCATTATGAGGCTGATATTGAGAGATACTGAAAGCTGCAGCCCATTTTGAAGTTGTTGGGAGTTAGGTCCTCAATAACTGAAAAAATCAGGTTATATTTGTCTTTGTGACAAACCTGAAATATTGGAACTACCCAAACTAATTGCCAGATTATCTGTCTTGCTGAAAAAAATGCTAAAGAGAACAAAGAATTTAATCCAAAGTAATGTCAACTGGAAAAAAAAACACCACTGTAAATACAAGAATATCCAAAGCCTTTAATAATTTTAGGGGATTTCCTTTGTCTTATGCGAGAACCAGGTTTTATCTCCATGAAACTGCTTTACTTCTAGGACTTCTAGGATTTGCAAAGTTTGGAAAGTGGGCATGTCAACACTATTGACCATTCTGTAGCCAAAAACCGCAGAGATGCGTAAAATAACGATATTTTTGTTTGGGGACTCACGCATTCACAATAAAGTTTATAAAAATGTATCCCAGATTAGTTCCTTGTGTAATTTGACTTTGAGTTTGAAAGAATCTCTTGCACCTTGTTTTAATACTTGTGTAAGCTTTGTTTCATTTCTTCCTTTCAGATTAATTTTCAAAGGGTATGCCTCTTTGGAGAGAGCCTGTTGGTGACAGAGCCATAAATACTGTTAAAACACAGGTTTTTGGATTATAATGCCTGGAAGCAATACAAGAGGAAGTAGAACAGCCATCAAATAGGAGCAGGTCTGAAAAAACAGACTTGGATAGGCCACCAAGGAGTTATAGTGAGTAAGGATGGCTGTTGATTTATTTGGCATTTAACTTTGGGGTGGGGGGAGGATTTGAAGAGTACGAAGAGAATGAAGGAGATGAGATAATGGTTAGAAAAAAGGTCGACTTATTTTCACAGCTTCTCTAGATGTTGTCCTTGATGTTAGAGAATGACTACAACACCTCTTAAGCTTTCTTATGAGAGGTGAATAGGTCAACTACTGTAAAAGCCTTGATGTTTGGCAAAGCACAGAAAAAAAATCCATTTTGAAACTCATTTTGTGGGCTAGTAGTTTGACTGTTCTTCTGTGGCCAGAAAAGAACTTGGGTCCAGTCTCAAAGGAATGTATCGTTAAGCAGGATCCCCCTAATGTCACACGATTGTTTGCCTTAGACCACACTTGGGGGTGGCCTGCTTTCAGCCTTCACCAGGATGACTCTCTGCAAACCTTCTTTGCTTTTTTTCATCAATATCTAGTCTAGAAGACTAACAATCTTGGATCTGAGATCCTTTTTAGGAATTACCTTTTTCCTTCAGATGAACCCCTTCTCCCAAATTTAAAGGTCTGGTTCTGTAGTTTCTTTAAGACAGTTTGTTTTATTCAGAAGAACACCTTTTAAAAGGAAAGATTCCTGTTCATCTCACCACAACAGAGTCCTTGATGCAGCAAAATAAAAAGCAGCTCATGCAAGGCCTGTCTTGACTAGTTCATGGTACTCTACAGGCAACTTTGGAGATTTTGCAGTTAAAGTCTTGTGGAAGGATATGAAAGCAAAAGGCCATCATAATCAAATGGTACAGCCCAAACTTCCCTTATTTAGTTCTCTTCCCCTTCCGGGATGCAATCATAATGCTTTCCTGGCCACTTGTGCATATATGGAGAGCTTTGTTTGAGGCAAAAACAATACTGCAAGGAGAATATGGTTAGACAGTTTGAATTTCTTTCTAGCCTGGTGGAAAAATAGTGGCCGAATCAAGCTGTTCTAATCTTCTTTAGCTACGCACTATAGTAAAACAGATTTCTGAACATTAGTCTCCAGGCCTCATGGACCCACCAGTTAAGGCATAAAATTGAGAAATGTTGGCTTTTTGGGAACAGAGGTGCAATGGGGAGAATTTGTTCCTGGAGGGTTTACATCTTTGCGAAGGACTTAGACGAAACAAGAAAATTCTGAGGGATTTTCATTGCTATCTTTAAAAGAGAAAGTTAGATTAATTTCTAACAGGAAGAGTGAACTGGGTGAAGAGTCTAACCTGTGGATGCTTAACTTATAGGATGTCTAAAATAAAAACTTGTTCAATCTTATAAAATATTCATAGTCAGTAATACATCTTCTGATGATAAGAATTCCCCTCTTTAAAGGTGTTATGTAAAGTGGTTATAATACCTACCTGTCTTGTAATAAAATAGGATTTGGCTACCTCACAAGGGTGTTATAAGACTTTAATGGAATGTTTGATAAGCAATTTGAGATCCTGGGATGAAAGGCACTATATGATTACAGTGTATTACTTATGATGATGATAATTTGGGTTTTTTTAAAAAGAAAAAAAACAAAACAAAAAACCTCTAGAAGAAGAAGAGCACAGCAGTCATGAGGAGCTTCTGGAAAGAGAATCAGGAAATAACAGAGTTACAGAACACCTTAGAACCGCTTGATATATTAAAGCAGGAAATTTCAGTGTCTGGACTGGTGACTAACAATAATACTCTCTCATACAGCTCTCTTAAATCCTCAGAATGCTTTCCAAACATTAGCCAACCTTAGCAACAGCCCTGTGGAGATAGCTAGGGGCAGAAAAGTTTAAGGACTTGCTCAAGACCAAAGTCCTAAATCAGAGCTGCAATTAAGAACTAAGGAATTCCATGTTTTCACTCCTATGCTTAGATAATTAGTCCATGCCAACCTCTCACTCTTGCAACAACAGACAGAATATGCTGTACTTGAAAGAACTACAAAAATAAATAAATAAAAACTACTGTCCTACGGTTCAGATCCTCGGCTGGTATAAATCACATTTTTAATTGAGCTATAATGATTTATGTCAGTCGAGGATCTGGCTCTAGGTGTTTCAATAAGGGTCTTTACTCAAAACTAAAACCAAAGGAACTTCTTGGGAAGAGAATGAGCAGACAGACAGAGTTTACAGCATTCTACATGCGCCCCTGGGGCCACATAATGACTGAATCTTCTGAACTCTTTAATCTTTACTGCTCGACTCTGAGTTAAGCGCTAGCAAGGCTTGAAGCCTAAGAGCAGGGAGATTTATAGCGGTTACTTACATTATATTTAGACAAATCGTCTTACCAACAGTAAAAACAAACAAAACAAAACAAAAATCAGGATTTTAAACATTTAAAACATCCATTCACAGTTAGTGTCACCTTTTCATTAAGATGTTCGGCGCGTGGTATTGCCATTATTGTCACCAAAACTTTCATCAGCTGCAGGCTAGTTTCTTTGCAGTCTTCTTGGCACACTTCAGTTATCGCTTGTATGCAACAAAGCAATTGTTCCATGTAAAAGATCTACAAACAAAAAGCATGAAATGTGTGAGTTTTGTTAGACAACGTTAGACACCCTTTCTTTCACAGGCCAGTAAAACTGACACAATCCTCTTTAAAAGTCAGGTATTAGTCGATGACAGTAATAAGATAAATTGTACATATCCTGCTGAACTGGATGCCTATTTATTGTTCCAAACATAGACTCTATAATTCACTCAGTTTTATAATAACCTATGGGGCATTTTTTGTTGAGCAACAAATTAATACACTCTTCCCAGGTTTTTTGCTTGTGGAAGTGATTACCTTGTCCCGTTAAGAAAAATTAATAACCATCCTGCCAGCCACACGATTGCAATATGCTGGATAAATACATTAAAGAATTTTGGGGTTCCTAGGAAGATTTTCACCTTATCCTGAAATGGAACTCTTTAACTTCTAATGCTTCTGCTGTGCCGATCTCAAACGTCCAAATTTCTGAACATACCAAGTAGTGTATTGCAACATCACTATGCAGAAACAAGGAAACCTGAAGGTCTGTCTCCCACCTAATTACTGCAACATAATGCATGAAATCCTGGCCCCACTGAAGTCAATGGGTGTTTTGCCATTGACTTCAATGGGGCCAGAATTTCACTCAAAATTCTTGTCAGTTTGCAAGTCTTCTGTAACAAAGCATAGCAGACCACAGTTGGCAGAGGTTCCATGATTTGCTGTACTATATCAGTGAAAGAGACCACTGTCATACGACTGGTTAGCTCCACTTCCAAAAAGAAAATAAATAAAACTTGAGAATACTCTTACCTATAAATGGTATTTATCTGATGTCATTTATATATCATTCTCTCACTCTGATAAAGAATTATTTCTCAAATAGAAAAGTTAGATCTGTCTACTCTCTATATTGTCGAATAGAGTTAATTTCTAGAAGATCACATGGCACTTTTGCAGATCTGTCCTGTGGACTCATTGTTTGAACACCCAGAGGTGGTGGTGCTTCCAGTGGAGTAGATCCCTAAGAATAGCGTGTTTCAGTGTCATTGAGGCCAATTCTGAGCATTCTAAGAATCACTCAAACACATGCCATTAAAACAAGGACTTAAAGAGGAAAGAACTACATTGTCTCAAAGGGAGAATTAAACAGATCCTGTAACACTAGAATAATCTTCTTAAAAGGAATTATAAATCTGACAAGGGGTACAAAGACTCTTCTGGAGACAGGGTATTGGCCAACTGCATATCCCTGAAGATCCCCTGCTAGTCATTCTAAGGGCAGAGGCTTAACATTTCAAACTCCTCCTGGAAAGAAAGCTAGAATCTTAATTAAGGAGAAGGCTTGGTAGACTGTATGGATATTTCTTGTATACCAGTAACAGAACATGCTGCAGATCCGGAAATAGAAGAAAGGGGTGAAGAACTCCTGAATTTCAACTGTTACACTAGAGAGCCCACTCCATATTGGAGAAAGAACCTTTCATACACCAATCTGAAAGGGTCAAGATACTGAGATCCAAGGATCCTTTCAGCTGAACAGTTACATGCCGAATAATTAACACAGGCAAAGAAAATGTAACAGGTGAGGAAGTACACCAAAGGGAAAAAAAAAAATACATGCAATGCCTTAATGCTAATTAATTGTAAACATCACTCTCACTATATGGCTCACAAAGAATACGGGCACTTCAACACAGTATAGTAAGAACCGCCTTCAGGCTCACGTCCCATGAAATCCATCTACTGCACGTTAGTTATGTGTGTGCTTAAGAGCAATTTTATCATGATGGAAGTGTCTTCATCCTGCATTTTTAGGATGAAGGAACCCAAATGTAAGAAGCTTAAATGCTAAAGCTTTTTGCAAAGTGTGTTTCTAAATGCACATTTAAACATACTGGATCATTGCCTTTTAAAAATCAAATATTAATATCCAAAAAGCTAGCATTAAAAGGAAGCACTTCTCTTTGTGAAATATAACATGCCAATCACTATTGCCAAGAAAATGCTTTGTATCAATCATTTTTATTTAGCTGGACTGCAGAGCTGGGAAGGGACAAAGTAAATTCATTTGTTTGGATTCTATACACGATGAACTTATCAAAACAAGGGCCAAATGGTGCCTTTGGATTAATCCAATTGACTACCATTGCAATACATGGGAATGACGTTCATAGGTTTAAAAGCAGAAAGCTAGCCTAATGTAGATAACTTGAAGTTTTGATGGCAGGGAAAAATCAGTATCTTATAACAATATTAACTAAGACCTATATAACCCAGTGTAGTTTGAACTGAACATATGCAAGATTGTGTGCAAACAGACAATCACAAATGAAAAACTTGTGTGCACAATAATTTAAACAGAACTGCTATTATTTTGGTCAGTATTTCCATGGTACGAGAAGGGGACTTGTTACTTTAGAAAATTTTACAAGCAATTTTGCGGATTGAAAAAAAAAGTTATATTAAAGTAAGGTACAGTCTAACTCAGTGGTTCGCAAATTACAGTATGTGGGCCACAATCAGGTGGCATGCAGATGGATTTGAAGTATAGTATGAGAACAAGAATCCGTTATAAACTACAGTTAAAAACAACAAAAAAGTGGTTTGCCAATCACTTTTGGCTTTTAGATGTGGTATGCAAAGACTTAAAGTCTGAGAACCAGTGGTCTAAGTCCTGGGCTGTTTTGGATTTTCCATTTATCCTTACCTCTTCAGATCGCTGACAGATCTCAGGTTGTGAGAGTGTGTTGGCAAGATAAGACAAATGAGGCTTTAAGACTTGTCTTGGGCAACCTCGTATCACTGCAGCTAGAATCATGAGATAAGAAGGCATAGGTGTTTTTTCAAGGGCCGACACCAGTAACTTCAGAGATACCTTAGGGTTAACAAATGTTCCAATCAACTCTGCTGCTTTCACACACTGTAAAAGAGAATAAACATAACTTGAGGATTATTTTGAAAACACAAAGACCATTCATCATATCCTGGCCCTTCCTCTTTTTATGATTCCAGCTGTTTTTTAAATACTTCAGCAATTGGCTTATAGGCCTTTCCGCTCACTCAGTAATGACTGCATGCATGAAAAAATTTTCTTGACATGTGTTCAGAAAGCTCATAATAAGGCATGCAAGCACCCTTCTCAGCATCAGACTCAAACTTTCATGAGAAAGTTGTAAAGCACAGTGTAATAGATCTCTAGCTTAGGGTGACCAGATGTCCCAGATTTCCTGGTTCAGGGTCCCCCCAACCCCTGCGAAAACTGGTCTGAGGCACACCCCCTACCCTCATTTATTTATATATATATATATATATATATAAACAAAACTCAAAAAAGAAGTAATCCATTTTTTGTTGCATTCACACTCCTCTCAAAACTGTGTTTTAGAGAAGCACCTTTGTATCTCTCTCTGGCATGCAGAGGAGTCAAGTATACGTGGCAGCCTAGTGATAGCATTGTGTACTCCATACAGAAAGAGCCTGCTCCTTTCAATCTTTCATTCTCGGTGCTAGCAGGGCTGCCAAGTACTATGTATCCCTCTCTGGCATGCAGACGAGTCCCAAGGCCTAGGCTCCAGCACAAGCCCGAATGTGTACACAGCACCTGAACAGCCCCGCAGCCTGAGCCCGAGTCAGCTGACATGGGCCAACCACGGATGTTTAACTGCAGTGTAGACATACCCTTAGAATCCCCTAACCCAATGCTCGGGCATTGGTTCAGTGATGACTCACAGGGCAGAGAATGCCCCTAACTGAATCACCAGTACTGTTTCCTACAACATTCTGAGTTTTCTTCCTCCAAGTACTGATCAGGTGCACCTCTGCTTAGCTTGTGAGAACAGAATCAACTTCAGCCTAAAGTGCTCTGGCTCAGGACCACACGTGTGGAGTAGAATCAGGGAGAATGGCTATGAAGAGATCTAAAATCTGATATATGGGAGGAGGGTGCAGTCTGTGAGAAGAGGAGGAATGCAGAGGGTGTAGAGAGAAGTAAGGATAAGAAATGAAATCCAGACTTCATTTGGCTTCCATAATAGCACTATCCCATACAGAAGCTTGATTTGGAAAACCAACCTTTGTTGACATATACTGGCTGCGGATAGTCCAGGCAATGTGGAAGTAACAAACATTGGAAACTGGCAATAGAACTTTTTGTTACAGCTTATTTTTTGTGTGTTCCGGTGGCAGTAAAATAAACAAACAGGAATGAGATTTAATTGTTAAAATTATATAAAAAAAACCCCATCCTTTATACCCTTTGAAAAATTTGGTTTAATTATTTTGTAAATGCAGCCGTGACTGATAATCTATGAGAGTTTTGCCTGTTGATAAAAATCAATAAGAACTGTGTATTTTAAGGCACTGGCTTACATAAATCTATTAGAAAAAGTGTTCTATTTCTTGTCTAAACACAACAGTGGGAAGGAAGCATTTACTTGGATAACTGATGTATCTGAACACTGATGGCTATCATATGAAATAAACATACCTTAATGTTATGGTTAGATTATGCGCTGAGAGATAACAAGTGAAATTAACTAGAAAGGGCATGAACTTCACATATTTTTAAAATGGAATTTGTTGCCCCAAGGCATTTACACTTAAATCTGGTGCTTATGATTTTTAAGAGGCTGTTAATGCTTCTCTTGTTGGCACAAGAAGTGAAAACTATTTGAATAGTCTCAGTTTTGGTCTTCACATGAATCATACAAAAATAAAATTTATTTTAACAAATACACATAAAAATCTACAAAATGTTTAACATGCTCCCTAAAAACATTTAAAACTACTGGGGATCTTGATCATGCATCTGTACTCTGGCAAAACTCTCACTGAGTTCAACAGAATCACTAGCATCATCTTTTCCCATAACAGTATTTCTTTGAAACATTTTATAAAAGAGAAATGAGATTCAAAGCACTATTAACAAGTGGCAATTGTAACATTATTTTATATCCTGTGGGAAGAGTGAGATGGCAACTCATGAGTTTAGGACCCTTAAAAGAAACGAGAGGGGAGAGAAATTATTGGCCCAGTTCACTCATGTTGTTAGTTGTTTGTGTGCCAAATACTCCTTTGAGCTCAATTACAGGATGAGGACTTTTCCCAACATGTTAAGTAAAATATTTTAAAATTTATTTTCAGTTAATTAAAAATAGTTTAATTTTAGCCACATGGACCCAATCCTGCGTGGTGCTGAGCACTTCCCTCTCCTCCCCTGGACTTCACTGGGAACTAAAGGAAATAGCCCCATACACTCAAGACTATTTAAGATTGGGTCTCTATTTAGGGTATTGTAGATATCTAAAAAAGGCAAACTCACATTTCTAACCACATTATTCTCTTCATCTAAGCATACTCGGTACAAAGTTCTAAGCAGTAGCTCCATGTGCTGTGTAATGTGATCCTCTGCATGTAGCAATAATATAAACAGAAGCTGAGATGCTTTTATTCTTGTGCCTTCAACCCAGTCAGTTACATCATGACAGAGACCTGGAAGAATTTTGGAGAGGTTTCTTGTAACAAGCTCCCGACATCCCAATTCTGGTCGAACCACTAGGAGGAGAGGGAAAAAAAACAAAACAAAACAAAAAAACAGAAGGAAAGTTCAGTAAAAGCACTACAAATGCTTCACAGAAAATTTTAGAAAAGGTTAATGGTGTTGATTCATAACAAAAATAATGTCTTTTTTGCTTCTATGTGAAGTACATGATTCAAAGCACTGCATGTGGCTTTATCTGGGAGAATGCCATTGACTTTTTAAAAAGAAAAGGAGTACTTGTGGCACCTTAGAGACTAACCAATTTATTTGAGCATGAGCTTTCGTGAGCTACAGCTTACTTCATCAGATGTTTACCGTGGAAACTGCAGCAGACTTTATATACACACAGAGAATATGTGTGTATATAAAGTCTGCTGCAGTTTCCACGGTAAACATCTGATGAAGTGAGCTGTAGCTCACGAAAGCTCATGCTCAAATAAACTGGTTAGTCTCTAAGGTGCCACAAGTACTCCTTTTCTTTTTGCGAATACAGACTAACACGGCTGTTCCTCTGAAACCTGTCATTGACTTTTTAATTGCACAATGCTATTAAACTCCATTTAACACTTTGAAAATGTAGTTATTTAATAAGTAATATTAATACCACCTTGGTGTTATATAGCAATTTTCATTAGTAGAGCTCAAAGCACTTATATCATTGGAAAGTTGGTATTTTCATTACATGATTTATTTTTTAAAAAATGTATAAAGGAGAGAGGAAGGAAAATAAGAAGCTCACCGCCCAACATGGCAAATGCATTTTAGCCAATCTCAAAGCATATGACACAAAGAGATAATCTCCTTTTTACTGTTATTTTAAAAATCAAATGGAAGCAAACAAACAAAAAGAAAAACAAGAAAAGCTGGACTTTTTCAAAACAAGCTTGGTGGTGTCCCTGGCTCAAACACAATTGAGACAGCACGCAGCAGTCAGAAAATTTTGAAATAGCATGAGAAACATTATATACAGGTTTCAAAAAAGAAAAAAAAAATATTCTTTTCAGGGTGTCAGAACACAGTAGGAATTGGCGAGTGTGCCTCCTTGTACTTCATAAAAAGAAAAGGAGTACTTGTGGCACCTTAGAGACTAACCAATTTATTTGAGCATGAGCTTTCGTGAGCTATAGCTCACTTCATCGGATGCATACCGTGGAAATTGCAGCAGACTTTATATACACACAGAGATCATGAAACAATACCTCCTCCCACCCCACTGTCCTGCTGGTAATAGCTTATCTAAAGTGATCATCAAGTTGGGCCATTTCCAGCACAAATCCAGGTTTTCTCACCCTCCACCCCCCCCTCCCCACACAAACTCACTCTCCTGCTGGTAATAGCCCATCCAAAGTGACAACTCTCTACACAATGTGCATGGTAATCAAGGTGGGCCATGTCCAGCACAAATCCAGGCTTTCTCACCCCCCCCCCCCTTTTCCCAGGGACACACACGCACACACAAACTCACTCTCCTGCTGGCAATAGCTCATCCAAACTGACACTCTCCAAGTTTAAATCCAAGTTTAACCAGAACGTCCGGGGGGGGGGGGGGGGAGAGTAGGAAAAAACAAGGGGAAATAGGCTACCTTGCATAATGACTTAGCCACTCCCAGTCTCTATTTAAGCCTAAATTAATAGTATCCAATTTGCAAATGAATTCCAATTCAGCAGTTTCTAGCTGGAGTCTGGATTTGAAGTTTTTTTGTTTTAAGATAGCGACTTTCATGTCTGTGATTGCGTGACCAGAGAGATTGAAGTGTTCTCCGACTGGTTTATGAATGTTATAATTCTTGACATCTGATTTGTGTCCATTGTTTCATGATCTCTGTGTGTATATAAAGTCTGCTGCAGTTTCCACAGTATGCATCCGATGAAGTGAGCTGTAGCTCACGAAAGCTCATGCTCAAATAAAATAAATAAATAAATAAAAAATCTGATCATAGGTAAACAGCATTGGATATACAAAAGATTGAAATCTGACACAAGGTAAAAAAATGCCTATGAAGTAACTATTTAAAATAAAATTCTTTAAAACATAAGACATGTTTGATTATTGCTTCTTTTGTGTATGGAAGAGAGCACTTGGATTATAAGAATTGACAGTGAATAGCAAAGGTCAAATGAGGAAATCTGCCTGAGACAACAAATATGGAGTGGCATTCTATTTGACCTGAGGCAGAAGGTTTTTTTTTAAAAAGGATTCTGACCATTCCTTTTCAATAGTTCCTTCATTTCAGATGTTCAAATGCAGACATTTAATTCCTGTAGCTACCTGCTGTCAAAGAATTTCCCCCCCTCACTATAAACTGTTTGCACCTGTATCCCAAGGCAATGGTTGCTCAATGGAAAACCATTCAGTTGTATAGATGGCACTGAATATTAGGGCAGCCTTCACTCCCCCGCCCCACCCGCAGTGTCTATCATCATGAGATCAAAGCACAGTAAGGCTGAGGTGTCAGGTTCATTAGCTTGCAAGTACAAAAGGGTGGTTAAGGAAAATGCATTACAGCCCTTAATGGAAAAGAAGGAATTCTAGATCCTGAAATATAGATTTACAATGAATCACTCATTATCATGGAATTCTTTTTATAATATGTTTTGAAAAGGAAGCAAATAGACGCAAATGTTAAAACATAATCACAAAGAATAAAATGGAACTTAAAATACCAGAAACTGAAATATAAAACAGATGGTACAGATACATAGATAAATATAAAACTTGCAACAAGACACCACAAATTCCTAATCTTATTTCAAGACACAGGTAAGACTCAGTGGTAAATCATCCTTTTCTCTTTTATCATGCATAGCTAGAGAGACACTATCAGATGCAATCTGGCAGTAAAAGTAAATGGCAGGAAGGAATCTTAAAGTAATTATTAACTTCTTGGGACTGAAGTACAATATTACCAGGTAATTTCCTCAGAAGGCTCTGCAACTATCTATTAATCTTTTCATTGAAGACTTAATGCAGAACTTTAGCAAGCAAGATGAATTTAAAAAAACGGATACAACTGGGCAGCGTTGGGGCGGTTTGCTCAAAATTGCGAAGCACTTTTCTTTTATCAGAGCATTGTCTCACACAGCTCTGTAGCAAAGACTGGCTTATGAAGTAGCTCACTTTCCTACCAGTGGTAAGTTCCATTAAAATAATTCCACTAGAAACATATTCAAAAAAGATGCAATTAAATACTAACAAATATGTTATTTTAACTAATACGTTGCACCAAAGTTCCCTCTTGTGGTATGTTTTATCTTTCATGGTAGGAACACCAAAACCGATCAGCTTTGCTGTTCCCTCATCAATCGCACTCATGGTAACACATATCCCTGATGATATGCATTAATTCATAGGGGATGCCTGCATTTGCACCTTATCTGAAAATGGTGTAGGTAAATACAACACTGAAGAGGACACCAAAGAAGGTCCTGGAAACAGGACCAGTAATGTAGACGGTGCCAATATTGAATGGTGAACTGCTCTTAGTACCAATTTTTGAAGGTGCATCTTCACTGATCTTGACATTTTAAAGATGTGTTACCACCCATTCTAGAATATAAAACACTTGTGAAGACATTGCAAGTGGTGTAGGAGGAGGTTATTTCCTAAAAACAGTAATCTGGGATGAAAACATTTGTAGCAAAGTCTGATCTGGTTCAAGAGTTTGGTGCAGATTCTGTGAGGTCTCCAGTGGCTGTAATGCTTCCTAGAATAGCAACTTATTTTTCCTCAAGGAATTCCTAGATTCTTCATGTGAAAACTATCAACATATCAGAGGAACTGAGTAGTGTAAAGGGACCCATTCCAGAGACACCTTGCTTAACTATAGGATAAGAAACCTTACTATGCTTTTAATGCTTTCGAAGAAAAATTTAATAGCCTCACTTTCACTTATTTAAGTTTTCAGGAAAAGAGATTTTGGAATCCAGTGCTAAAGAGAAGGCAGAGGACAAAAAAAGAAAACAGAAGCCGATGGATACAATTCATTTTAGCTCTGGAGGACATTTTTGACTATATTCTGAGATAACATGTAATAACTCCAAAAACTCAAGGCCCATACAAAATTCAACTAAGAGAGCAAGCAAGAGGAGAATTATTCAGACTCATCAGGCTTTTGGAAACAGAGCGATAATAGGCAGATTGTGCTGTCATGGTTATAGTTTCTTTTCTGATTCGTGAACCATTGGACGATAACAAAGTACCCACAGATACTCAATAGGGTGCTGACCATGATGTGCTGTAATGCAAAGCAGGCAATGGCCTCTGCATGGACAAAATTCACGGAGGAAGCATTTGCTTTTATTACCAATGGAAGTACCCTTTCAGAGGTATGGTCACCTTTCATGCTAGTGGCAGCTCCTTCATTCAGAATTGTGAGGAAGTTGCAGACTGCTTATGTGACTTGAGACAGGTCACTTACTTTCTGTGTCTCAGTTTTCCCCTTTGTCAAAGGGTATAACATCCTTTCACCCACCTTTTGTATATCTTGTCTATTTATATTGTAACCTATGTGTTTGTAAAGATCCTAACATAATAGGGCTCGTCTCAACTGGGGCCTAAGGCAATACCATACCACAAATAACTACTTATAACAATGAGGATAAAGTATTTCCTTTCCATGACAATCCTCCTTTCCAAAGGTAAGTTAAAACGTTTTAGAATCAATTACGAGAAGTCATACTAGTTTCTGTTTTTCTTGAACCTTCTTCTTCCTCCGTCCTACTCTAATTTTAATATGGGTAACAAACAGCATCATTATTTCACAACTACTAAGATTGCTTTAGCATGCTCTTTTACATTTAGAATACCGATCACAACATTCATGAAAAGGGCAAAATTTTCCCTCAGCCTTCATTGCAGATATTTTTAAAAACCTATCATTATCTTTACAAAGGAAATATATGAATGATGGGTGATTATCTAAAAATTCATGAGGCTGACCATCTATTAATATGAACAGCCTGTGACAGGACAAATATTTCTCTTATCATTAGAGGAAGCAAAGGCATTTTTTACCATTTACATATCCCAAAGCTAATTTTATAACTTACGTCACAGAAAGAAAAAATAAAAACGAACAACAGATCAACTTGACTGCCTTGAAGGCTAAGCAGATATGTCACGTCGGTTACTATTATGACGTGCTTCCCCTTTCATTCAAGCATTACCAAGTAAAACAATTTTAACAAAAATATAATTTCAAAAGAGAAAGGACTCCGGAACCCACTGTCATCGAAAGGATTTTGTTGCTGGGGATTCTGTGACGTGATTGGCAGGTAGGGAAAAGTCAAGCATGATCTTGTTCTTTCACACCATAAGAGCATTTTGTTCTGTTAAATCTGAGTGTACAAATCAATAAATTACCCACTTTAACCCCCTCTCTCTCACCAATATCCATAAGCATAGTTTTAAACATTAACTTTACAAACCTAAGACAGGAAACAAGCTTCATGCCACAACATAAATGTTAAAGCCACGTATAAATAATATGGCGCAAAGAAGTGGTTAGCCTTTGTTGCCCACCTAGTTTTCCTTGGAAAATAGGGAAGGTAAAGTAGTTTCCCTTAACTGCTTCCATTTTCTCCCCCTCTGCCGGCTGACTTTACATCTGCTTAGAAGTTTAATATAATTTTGATGCAAGCTTTTCTGCCATTAAATTTATTTGGGTGCTTCATGCTATCCCATGAATGCTGTGTCTCAGTCTCACTGTTCAGGAAGAACTTAATGTCTCAGGGTCTCTCTCTCCCCAACCCTCCCTTCTCATCTCTTCTCCCTCTCCTCACATGGTTTCTGCCTTAAAAACAGCTTAACATAAAAATGGCCATACTGGTTCAGACCAATTGTCCATCTAGCCCAGTATCTTGTCTTCCGACAGTGGCCAGTGCCAGATGTTTCAGGGGAAAACGAACAGGACAATTACCAAGTGATCAATGCCCTGTCATCCAGTCCCATCTTATTGCTGAGTGGAGGAGATTGCAGTATCGTTTCATCCCTTTTTCAATGTGCAGTGTGCAGAGACTGCAAATAGTAATGAGTCCTATCCCACTCGCCAATTATTTTGGGCCAGATTATGATAATTTATACTCCCTGTGAGAGAGGCTATTTTATGTGAAGTCCCATTGAGGCCAATGGGACTATTTTCAGGGTAAATTACTAGCAAATGTGAGTAAAGGTATCACAATTTAGCCCTATATGGCTATATCCCTCATCATCTACTTTTATTTGTGATAACAACAGAAAAGGCTTTGACTCAGGTGGAAAAATATGACTCCTTAGGTTACAGGAAACCTGAAATGACGCCATTCAATAAATCTGAATTTTGCAACAGAGCTGCAATACTGTGGATATACATATAATCATATGCCCGCTAGGAGTGAGAAGGAGCAGTACGACTTCTAAATTCATTGAACTGCAACTAGTGGATGGGATTTGTTTTTATTTAAAAAAAAAGAAAAGAAAATGGCTCCTATAGTATAGGAAAATATTAACAGAGGTTGAAACTGTGTCTAGGATAACACTGTTTTAGGAGAAGATGGAAATGTCTATATTTATTTATGAATTAATTCTAGCCATCAGCCCAAGCTGTTGTGCATTCTGACCCCTCGATGTGCCAAGAATAATTATGGCCTTATCTTCTGACTTTAATCCTAAATTTTTCTGAAGTGTAGATATTTCCCAACCACGTTTTGCATGCATATAAGTCTCCTTTCTAGTGAAAACACAATCTGGGTTTTGTTTATTTTAAGGTTAACAGTACAGTTTACTTATATATTCTCATTTTCAGGTACTGCCTCTTCTTTTTGAGAGTGTGGGCATGTTCTGCCAATGATTGCAGTGGTCAGAGTAAAGGTACTAGCAATGTATAGTATTTCTGAAATATTCTCAATTATTAACAGATTCCTCCTCCTCCAGCTCAGGGAAGATGGGGGAACCAAAATTCTGGAGGCTGATTAAGGTAAGAAATGGGGAGCAGAGGAGAGGGTAAACGGATCCCTACAGCTGATTAAGGCAGTGATTATGGTAACTAATTAGAAAAGAGATGCAAGTCTGAACAGATGAATAGCAGTAGAAAAGGTAGGAGAACAGGAGACAGAAATGCAGATGAGGAATAGGAATTCCGAAGGCTGGATTAAGTGCCTCTCTGAACACTCTTCTACAGAGTACCTTTTATTTAGTGAACAAGATCCAACTTAAATTTTCATAGATGTTAACTAAAATAACATCTAGTGACCAGTCAGTATGGACACTCTTGTTTGGAGGATCATGCAAGAATTAGATTACTGGAAATGCTCAAATACACCAGGCTTGGTCTTTGTTGCATTTTCTTTCTTCCTCTTGTACTAATTTAAGTTGTTACCCTGGGGGAGTTGGCTATGTGATGAATGGCAAACCCCATTATATCAGAAAGCTACTGTTCAGCAGTGGTTGAGGCACTTGTCATACAGACTGACAAGTCTGAAAACTACTTCATGTTGACCTCATATCTGGCTCAAACCATATAATTCAAATCTATCTTATATATATATATATATATATATATATATATATATATACACACACACACATATATACATACTTACACCCCCGCACACCCCCAAGAAAGTATATTCAATAAACCAGATTAACTTCCTTACATACAGAGTTGGCATCCAGGAGTCATTTTAGTATCACAGCCTAGGGCAGTGGTAGAAAGATTGCATTCATGCTAGAAAAATTCAATACTGTGGATGACTTGGAAAACTGAATACAATAACCCATAGCTGCTATATAGCTATGTCTGCACTATGAGCTAGAGATGTGATTCCCCCGGCTCATGTATACAAACTTGCACTAGTTTGATGAGAGCTGGCATGAGTTTTAGTAGCAGTGTAGTTGCAGCAGTATGGGTAGCAGCAGCAGAGTCAAGGCTGAGACGTACTGAGTATAATACCACCTGAAACCAGTGGGTACGTACTTGGCACAGCTCATCTATGCCTTCACTGCCGTTACCTATGCTATCACTACAGTGCTATTTATGCTCATGCTAGCTTTCAGAGCTAGCACAAGTATGTGTACATGAGCCTATAATTTAATGGTTTAGTTTTCATTAGATATGATAGCTCTTGGTAGACCAATATATTTTAACTGTAAGAAATACCAATAGAATGTTGCGAAGACATACATTACAATAGAACACTTGAGAGACTGACAAAAATGAGTTATGTATCAATACAGAACAAAGAAGAAATTGTTGAAGTTTCTTTAATGAAGTCTGCATGACCTATGAATGCTAACCCACTACAAAGTCATATGGTTTTGTTTTGTTTATATTTTAATTCAGGCTGATACGTTTCTCCATGGAAACAAACAAACAAAAAACGCCTAGATGTTTCTTACTGGGGGGAAAAAGGAAAAATAACTTCTGTAGAAAATTTGTGAAGCCTATCTGTGCACTTGCACCAATTCTGTACAATCTTTATAGCTGTAAGTAAGATTTATGTAAAGTTTGAGGTGAAGTTCATTAAAATGGGATTTTCTAATGCACTCAGTGTAGGCCTAACTCTGCTTTAACTGAAGTCAATGAGAGTTTCACCATTGACATAATGCTCTCATTGAAACCAATGCTGAACAGCTTCTGAAAATCCTACCCTTAAGCAAATACATACATAGAGCTTAACTCTGAGTACCTTCAGCTCCCATTTAACTTTGTGGGAGCTGAGGGCACTCAGCACCTCACAAGATCAGTCCCGTAGACAACTATGACTGCTTCAACTGCTTTCAAGTACTTATTTTTCACATCCTCTTCCCTTTTCTTAATATCTTTTATGCATACATATATACTGAGGAGGAGCTTCTCGAGCCAGTTATTTTCAATCCCGAGTGCTTTTCTACAATACTCACGTCCTTCAGGATAATGAGATGGTGCTGAATAAAAGTCAAGCTTATCCTTAAGGTCTTCTTCATTCTCTTTTTCCCACTGCAAGCCTATCCTCTTCCAATAACTCACAGCCAGTTGCCTAAAGTATAAAACCAAAGTGTTTGAACCACCCATCTTTACATACATACAGAAAGGATGCATTTTTAAATGAGACTGCTGGAAAACAAGAATCCCCTCTACACTCAACTGGAAGACTTCTTTGAATACACTGGGACAAACACTAACTTCAGATACACTTATGCAACTGTAATGGCCAGAAATTTTTTTTTTTTTTAAATGAAGCTTCAGTTCAACAGAAATAAACAGTGTGAATCTCAACTAGCTGGGGGAAAAAACCCTTTTGCTTTGAGAAGAAGAATACAACCTCCTCTACCCTCTTTATAATCACACTTATTTGAATGCAGCAATAACAAAAAAAATGACTGAAAAGTTGTGTGTAGAAATAAGCAAATCAGCTAAATAGAAGAGCAGGACGTTTTCCTGAACTCCGACCTGAGTGCAGAAGTACTTTAATACGAAGTTATCTATAAAAACTGGATCCTTTGTTCTGCTTACTTGTTCTCAGGCATTTCATCAGTAAAGCTGCTAAGTAACAAAGGAATCAACTTGTGAAAGTAAGAATATCTATCCCGCAGGTGCAACAGCCATTCTCCAACAACACTTGTAACAGCTTGCCGAACCTAGGAAGGTGAGAGAAACAACACACTGCAAATTTTCCTACAGTCCCATAACATGAAGGGAAGAACTTTGAAAACAAAAACCTTAGAGTAAACTTTAGCAAAGTGTCTAGAAGAGTCATTTATCAAATCTATTTACAAAAAACAACAACACACACAAATAATGAACTTTCATACAAGACAAGTAAGCTTTGAGCGGGGAAAAAAATAATCAGACAAACTATAGGAGTAGACTGCCTGCATGTCCTGATCACCATTATCTTAGCTCATCATTCCCTGAAGTAAACAGCTCCAACATAGGGTATGTCTTCACTAGCAACGTTTAAGCACTGCTGCAGTTTAAGCGAGAAAATTGCAGCACTATAAAGTGGCAGTGTAGACAAGGCCATACTGTATTTCCATTTAAATGGTGGATAAAGTCCGACACATTCTAAATCACAGTAGTTCTTAGAGGGAGTACATTATGAAATGAGGTAAAAACATGGCACCGTCTACTAATAAAAAATATTTAAAAAAATAATTCTTCATTTATACAGCACATTTTAAGCAAGGCTCTCAAAGCCTAACACATGCGATGTGGATATGGTAAAATCTAGATTTTATGAAACTCCATTTAACCTAAAATACTTGCGTTCCCCCTAGCTGGCCCAATCCAGCAAGCACTTAAGGGTGTGCTTAACTTTATGTATATGAATAATCCCATTAAAAGTCAATGGAACCAATCATACGCTTAAACATTTACATATGTGTTTTGCTGGAACAGGCCAGAGAGCTCAGTCCCTTACTGGATCAAGCCCTAAGACTGCAGGGAGAACATAAACGCTATCACTCAACTCTGTCAACCAACACTTTAGATTTTCTGGTTTACTTGGTCTTCAAATTTCCTATCTGCTAAATACTATTGTGCTGAATGATTATTGCAAATCCCTTTGATTTTACAAAGATTTTTGTCAGCCCCTGGAGAGACATTCATAAACAAACCAAAAAGAGTTCTCTTCAATTATACCCATATTACTGAGGGACAAAAGAGCCAAAGGACCAGATTTTTAGAAGTATTTAGGTACCTAACTCCCATAAAAATCTAGCCCTAAGTGACGTCTCCAAAGTTATGTAGCTAGGAGTAGTACAAACTGGAACACAATCCGGAACTTCTGATACTAGACCACACACCCTCCCCACAAAAGTTGAGTATTACAGCTTTATTCACAAGAACATGCCATCCTCCCTAATTTTTGAGGATCCCTCCTTGGTGGCTAATTTTTACTTGGTCAACTTTATACATTAATATACAAATACTTAAATTCAGCTGAAGCCGAAAATCTTAATGAAGCAAGGAGAACAATTTAATTGGCATTAAGTAGTGAACAGATATTTTTATTACATTATTTTTATTCCTAGAAATATGTTAATGAAGGCGAGGCAAAAATCTAGACAAAATAAAGTACAGTTACCTGAGGAATTTCATCAAAAAGTCGCTGGGCCAAATGAGAGAGAACATCATCTACAGACTTTCCGTTGCCAAACTGTATCACCGTTCCTGTGGCCTGAATCACAGCAACACGGACTCGGAAGTGCTGGTGTGAAACTGTTTGCATTAAGGGTTTTATTAAAAATTCTGAGTGCATATGAAAGTGTTCTGTTAAAGGAAAAAGAGAGAAAGCTCAGCTCTGTCTTTATAGGTATGCTTACAACAGACCTTGTGCAAACATCACCCTGCATTTATATAGCACCTTCTGGACATGAATCTGATTTATATAGCTATGTTTATGTATATATATGGTCTCATTTGGCAGAGTGTGTTAGACTGGGCTAACAGCACATTTGCATCTCTGCCACTATCATCCCAGTCCCATGACCATCCCAGCACCCTCCTCCTGCTGCAGCTTGTTCCCTGTAATTCTGGTCCCATTCTTTCTACCCTGCCCTCTACTCCCCCATCCCCAGTTAGGATGGCCAGAGCAGCACTGTCCACATACCTGCAACTCCTCCAGCCAGGTGCCCGGCACCCTGAGTTCCACCCCCAGATCACCCTCTTCATCCGAGTCAGGGCCACTAACAATGCTCCTGCAGATCCCTCATCCTCCCTGGCTTCCCCACCATCTCTCTCCTCTCCAATCACTAACCCCGAGCGCAGGACCCTGTGCACCCGCAGCTCCCCGTGGCTGCCTTCCCCGGGTCCCACCTGGCATAGCCCTGGCGCTGGCGGCCGCACACCTGCAGCTTTCACGCTTGACCTCGGGGTAGGGGTCGAGGAGGGTGGCCTGCAGGATGTGGATGACCTCGGGCAGGTAGGGGGCCAGGGCGGTCCCGCAGAGCTCCAGCACGAGGCCCAGGAGCTGGATCAGGGCCAGGCGCAGCTCCTCGCAGGGCTCCTGCGATTGCCCCTGCGGCGGGCTGAGGCGCTGGGCCAGGGCCGGCAGCAAGCAGGGCAGGCCCTCAGCAGGCCGGACACTGTGGCTCAGGCCGTGGTAGGTGAGCTGGACGGCCAGCTCCCGGCAGCGCTCGGCCGGATCCCCCACCAGGCACCGCACCAGCGGCCGCAGCAGCTGCTTGGCGAAGACCTCCTGCAGCACCGGGGCCGAGAGCGGCCGCTCCTGCACCTCGGCCCGGATGGCCCGCAGAGCCCGCAGCCGCGCATCCCGGCCGGGCTCCTGCAGGCTGCCCAGGTGCCGGCCCAGCGCCTGGACCACCTCCGCCACCCGGCGTTGGTCACCCAGAGCCCCGTCTTCGGCCATGCTGGAGCGTCGCTAAGGAGGCTCAGACCCCCCGCTGCGGCCCGTTACTAAGGACTCTGCTCTGCTGGCAGCTGCTTTCACGGCAGTAAACACATGCTTTACGGCAATTTCAACATGCAAGAAACTTTATTGGCAGGGGGCTCTGGCGGACATGGACACTGAGGCTGTGGTGGGTCTCGCCCAGCAAGCCGCTCCCGCGCCACAGAGACAGTTCGAGAGAGTGATAGGGGGCTTACAGAGGGAGCATGGGTCAGGGGTTAAAGTGCATAGCGAGGAGCCAGCACTGCTGGGTTTAATTCCCATGGGGCCTTGGGCAAGTCATTTGATAGCTTCCCTGCCTCAGTTTCCCTATGTGTTAGCTGGGGCTAACAGCATTTGCAATGTAGTTGTCCTGACACAGTACAGCATAAAGGCTGCCCCGTAGCTAGGGTTGCCAACCCTCCAGGATTGGCCTGGAGTCTCCTGGAATTGGCATCGATCTCCCGGCGACTATTGAAAGCAATCCAGGAGATTTTAATAGATCATTTTAAGAAAATGATATTACATCAGTGGGGAAATCTCCCGGAATAGCTTCAGTCAGAGTTGGCAACCCTACCCTGAGCTGGTGCCTAATATTCTGTCTCCTGGGAGAAGGGCTTGCTTCGTGTTAGCATTCACCACTAATCAGAGTGAAACACTGATTGCGTAGCTTAAGTAAATGTTGTAGGGTGCAGTCCCTTAAAAGTCAGCGTCTGTGGGAATTAAAAAACCCAAAGCTCTGTTCTTTGCTTTTTCATATAATCACCCTATCTTTGAATGGAAGGTACTATCAAAGTGTGGAGAATCATTACACCAGTGTCTTGATATTAATCCCCAAAATAACTGCATCACCCATATCCTGAAAGGGGATTGCTGCTTTAAATGTTGAAAAGGACCCCAAAGGAACTTTTGGAGCCTTGTGAAATGTTGCATGGTGATGCTGACGAATGTCAAAATGTTTAAAATTGCCTATTAATTGTTGGCCCCAATCCTGTGATTAGACCCATGGGGTGATCCAAGTGCAGGTTCAGGGCCTTTTTTGTAATATTGTACAGCAATGCTTGTGTAAGCAGAGTCAGGATGAGCTCCACCCTGACATCTGGTGGTGAGGTGTGGCAAGTTGTGGAAAAGAACTTCAGGGGCTGATCTCATTTGTATAGGCACACCCACCCTGCCTAGAATGAGGCCATAACTGCCCAAATGGTCACTTTGGCTGTTGTGGGATCCCCAGTGTCTCTGTTATTAGGGTGGGAAGAATAAATTGTTATTACCCAGATTATGGGAACTGTGCTTGGAACTGTACTTGGCCTTTTGTTATGATGGAGGGACTCACCATCAACTAAGGAGCACTCGCTAGGCAAGGGACATGGGTTCCAAAACTCTGTGAATTGAGAGAGGCTTGAGACAGGTATTTGTATCTGGTGGTGTGGGCCTCTTTCTGAGGGCCTGAAATACCCATTGCACCTCTGTCTCTTTCCACTGTGGAATGTCAGAGCTAATTTTGGGTCTATTAAGAGTCTTGCTAAGGGTACTGTGCTGAATTCACTTTAGCCTTATGGTGCACTAGCCTTAAGGCTCCCACTACTATGAGCTAGAATCACTGAGCACTGTGTCAAGTAGTGGGGAGCTGGAAGAACTAGAGTGCAGTGGTGCTGTTCATGGATATGCTGGCGGAGTGTTTGTGAGATGGTGAGGTGAGCTGTGCAGAGCGGAGCCGTTTGTGAGACAGTGGAGTGTTTGTGAGACGCAGAGCTGTTTGTGAGATGGCGGAGTGAAGTGTTTGTGAGAGTGAAGTGTTTGTGAGACGGCGAGCTGTGCAGAGCGGAGCCAGTCGTGAGACAGCTGAGTGGAGCAGAGCCCTGTGGGGCAGTCAGCTTCAGGACACCTAAGGTGCCCCTTACCTCTTCCCCCCCCCACACAGGCACATTTTAGCCAGACTGGGGAGCAACACTCTGCAAATGAACTTTTGAACTCTGGGGCTGGACTTTTTGAACTTTGGGTGATTTGTGGATTGCTGGACTCAAGAGACATTTGGGTTCTGGGATTCAAGAACCCGAGGGAAAGGATGTGGCCCAATTTGCTGGGGTGGGTCTTTGCTCATGGTTTGGTTAATGAACACTAGTTGTGGTGTTTCCCCAATTTAATGCTGATGTCGTTTACCTCATGTTAGTAAAGATTCTCTGCTACACCGAGACTCTGTGCTTGCGAGAGGGGAAGTATTGCCTCTTTGAGGCACCCAGGGGGTGTGTAAGATTTTCCCAGGTCACTGGGTGGGGGCTCGAGCCAGTTTTGCATTTGCTTTGATGAGAGGGAACCCCTGTGTACTGCACCCGGTCCTTGCTGCTATCAACTTGGCCTGGCAGAAGGGTTACACTTGCACAGTGCTTTGAAGGTATAAAGTGGTAATTAAAGGTGAAGGCTACATTCTTCAGAAATTGGATGTGTAACAATAGGTATCTAAATCAATAATCTCGCAGAGATCTGGCCTTCCTCTAATCGCTCGCTGCATTTGAAAGCAGCATTGCATGCTCTTTGAACATGTCACCAGGATGGACAAAAATACCCCAGCACGGTGCTCTCAGACTCTACATTGATGTGTGAAGGGATGCACAACTTGACCCTACCTGGCATCACCTGTGAGGCTGCCCCAGAGATTTGTAGATTTGCAGGATTGAGCCAGATCTGGGAACTTCATTCTATGATGCCTGGTACAATGTCATCATCATTGATGATCAGTCCTCAGACTATACACGTTTGAAAATCAGGGCATATACATAATCAAAGATGCTGAGTTACCCACATTTGGACATTTTGGCCTAAGTGTGATGTAATTAAAAAAAATCTGATAGTGAAAGGCTGAAAATCTTGTCTCCCTCCAATGATCAAGTGGTGCTAGGCAGATCTGACTATTGAAGCATGAAACATTATATCCGGGGCTCAATCAGGGGCTTCCAAACTTTTCCCAGTCATGGGGTTGCATTGACAACTTGCTGGGACTAAGTGGGAGGCATCTCATTCGTATGATATCAAACAGATTGAGATATATTCACACTGCCCCATCCTCCATGCAAACTCCTAACAAATCTCCGTGGTACCTATGCATATATCTCATCCGACCAATTAATATTCACTTTGTGGTGGCATTACAGTAAAACTACAATTGGGCCACAGTCCTGCAGTTTGTTGCTTACTAGCAGACATCTGAACCTCTGTTGGGCCCCATTGACTACAACAGGACTCTGCACAGATGCAGGGGTCCACCCATGCACAATGACTTGCGGGCGAGGAGCAAGACTATACTGTAAAGGGATAATGGTTTCAATGTATGACTTGATTCTAAAGCCAAGGCAAAGACATGGCTTACCAAGTCAATCTTTAACATACCAAGATAAGAAGCACAAAGTGCAGTTAGGAGTTAGTATAGACAGCTGGCACAGTATGACTTACTTCATTGCATATTCTTGAGGGATGCTGACAATTTGGCTTAGTTTGAAAATCCAGCAAACAGGCAGCATGAAGTGGATTCAGACACCCAGGAAAGCAGAATTTTCAAACAAAATGCCTTGCACAAACCATTAGAAAGCATCACAAAAAAGCCACTGTAAAGAGCATTGAAATGACTACAGCATAGGTTATTGGGACTGCAATGCTTTGAGGTGTGTACGAGATACTGCCCAGGAAAGTCACAACAGAGATGGCTCTGGGGAATAGGACAGTTTCTTTCTGAGGCCCTCCAACATGCTATAGAAACTCCATGGCCCCGCTGTGCCACAACAACTGTTTTTCTGCATGTAAAAGCAGGGGCCAGCTTTAGGAGGCAACAAGCAGTGCAAGTTCCCAGGGCCCCACGCCACAGAGGGGCATCGTGAAGCTAAGTTTCTCAGGCTTTGGCTTTAGCCCCGGGTGGTGGGACTTGGGGGTCCAGGCTGCAGTCCTGCACAGCAGGACTTTGGCTTTCTGTCCTGGACCTTACCAAGTCTAAAGCCAGCCATGCTTGATGGACCCCCTGAAACCTGCTTGCGGCTCTCGCAGGGGACCCCAGATCCCTGGTTGTGAACCACTGGAATAGGAGATAGTCTATCATCATGCTATAATACTTTTACATATCTGGTGGGAGGCTCCAGGCAATCCACCACCAAAGTATTGAACAGGATGGGATGCTACAGGGAGTAAAACAATACTTCAAGGGTGGTCAGACTGCAAGGCAGAAGAGCCGCAGGAGGTCACCCTCTATCACTGGGAAAGGATGAGCTATATGTGCAAGATGGGGTTTTGCTTAAAGGGGACAATGCAGTAATCCCAGCCGATTCAAGACCTGACATCATGAGACAGATACATAATACACTCTTGGGTATTAAGCATGCCTGAGATGAGCCCAGCTGTGTATCTACTAGCCAGGCATGAATGGCTATGGAACAGTGTGAGCTGTTCAGAGTGTAGTGATCAACAACAGAAGGAGACTACATACAGCCTAACCTGACCCTGAGAAAAGGCCTCTCTGTGTAGAGGATAAAATTTTCAAAAGTACACAAGTCACTTAGTGACTTTCAATGGGACTTTGGTTCCTTAGATACTTATGAAAATTTTACCTCTAGTCTTTTAATTCTTTAATTTTTTTCAAGTTTCTCCCATACTCTAGGCACATTACAGACATTCAAAAGATAGATTCATTTGATGCATTTTGTAAATATTTGAGACCATAGGAACTGCCCTGTTGAGTAAGAACAGTTGTCCATCTAGTGTATTATCTGTTTCTAACAGTAGCCATTACCAGATGCTTCTAAAAGAGTTGCAAGATATCCCATAATGGACAGTTATGGAATAACTGGCCCATAAGGGAGCTTTCTTTCTAACCCCAAGCAAGGTTGGCATATGCCCCTATGTAGGAACCTTATGGTAGTGTGGATGTTCTCATTATCCATATAAATGCCAATTTCTTTTTCAAATCCTGCTAAACTCTTGGGTTCATTTGATACCTCGTGGCATCAAGTCCCACAGGTTAATTAGGTGTTAGGTATAAAAGTATATCTTTTTATCTGTTTTAAATGTATGGAATTTGTTTCACTGAATGCCTCCTTGTTCTTG